TTCCCGAAGGTTCGGATTATCTGTTGTTTCTATGTAATTCTGAGTATAAATACGCCTTGTACTCACCTTTAGTGCAACATTCTCGAGTGGAAATTCGATCCTGTGACAATAGGGGTGTGTCAGAATGTTATAGTTCTTACATTTGTGTAGGCTTTAGTGGGGTAGCCCATAAGAGGGACAACCCAATTAGGGTTAGTACTTGTACCCAATTTGTGTTCAATGCATTCATTCTCGTTAGTTGATTCTGACAGAACTCAGGTGCTGACGCTCTTTTCTTGTGTCGTTCTTCATGTAGGTCCATGTCCTGCTGCTCAGCATGTATCTCAGCGCAGAGGGCTGCTTCGGAGATCTTTCCTTGGGCTCGGAGAATGGCTCGAGTGGAGCGTCAATGAGGACCGAGGCCAGTGATGACAACCGTAACGAAGGCTTCTTCAGATATCGATCCACCGAATCGAAGGAGTCTATCGCGTAGTCCCCGACAACGGCTTATATAAGCCATTCGCTTTTCGCCTGGTTTCATTTCCACTGTTGTTAGTTGTGCCATAAGACGACTCTGATTAACGCTGTCTGTTGCCTGATACAGACTCTTCATGTGGTTGTACGCGAGCTCAGCGGAGTTGCCGTATCCACGATAGGACCGGATGTTCTGCTGCCCGTTTGGCGTTATATTTCGTAGAAGTACTGTGTACGCCATCAGCGACTGATATGTGTACTGCTGCTTGTCATATTGTGTCCCATGTGTTGGGTATGGCAGGGACCCGTCGAAGAATCCAAGAATTTGCGCGCCCTCCATCATCAGCTCGAATTCGAATGACCAGGTATAGAAGTCTCTCCTGTCGAAAGGCGTTGACGTTTGTAGTTTTAAAACATGTGCGAGTTGTGACTATATCTGAAGCGCGTTCAATGTCTTCTCTTGTCCAGGTGAAGGCTGGTGTGGCATGAAGCTGATGGAGTCGCGTTTGGGCTTGTACGGAGCGAAAGTAGGTTGTTGCTGGTTTCGGCGCGCGTAGGATGAGACGTCGAGACTCATGGGTGTGACATCGTTGTTGTTGTTGTTGCTGTTGTTTGATTGCGCAGGTGCTGTTTACTAGTGTTGCTCGTAGAAGGACATGAAGGAGAAAAACTTCTCCATCATGCTTAGGTCGAAGCTTGTTGTTTGATTCGCGGGAGTTTTGGTAGACTCCACAGCTGGTCTTGTTGTTGTGCCTTCCTCTGTCTATAGGCCAGAGGTTGGAGGTGGAGTAGGAGTAGTGCCGGGAGATCCGTTGGAGGAACTCCTCTCCTTCTGAGTTGCCATGTCTTGTGCTGTTGTAGGAGTTTGCCATCTTGCCTTGGATGCTCTGATACCATGTTGGAGTGAAAAGCAAGCCCTTATTATCTTTTCAAGGCTAAGACTTTGGGTAGAGATGTTGTAATTGCGGAAACGTATAGTAAACTTGTCGAACCACCTTGCACTAGTGTGTGAGCAAAAGATTGATTATAGCAAGGTAATACATGGTCTTTTATAAGGTTACAAGGAATACGAAAAGGTGCAGCTAACTGTTTTGCTGTTGCGGTTCGATACAGTAACGACTTGGGCAACTGCTCAATATCGAGTCAGTTGTTTGTCCTTGCTTTCGCGCTGTATTTCGCCGAGTCAAGGGTCGCTGACCTTTGACCTTCGCGTAACTTCGAGCTGTTACGTTTTGTTAACCTCTTTGGTTGACTCGTTTGTTGCTTCAATGTAGTCTGCTTCGTTCGTGTTATTACTTCGATACTTCAGAAGCGCCAACTATGTGTTTCCAACAAAAATAAACATTCCGTATGGAGGAAAATGAAAGTCAAAATATCATTTTATATACCACAATGTGGAAATAACAAGTTACTCTTGGGTCTACGTATCGTAGTGGTGGATTCCAAGTAACAACGAATAGTCATGGGTGATTTATTCACTTCATAACAAACCCTTTTCCAATTAAGTGCGCATCATGTGCAAATTATAAGCAAAATAACATTGATTTCTTGATGGGCATCCTTTGTTGTCATATTTCTGGATTAACAGACTTAGAACGGATATGTTGTCGTGCTATAGCTTATAACGGTTCTCGTGCTGCCTCCCGCCAGATAGCTGCGGAATTCCTGACCTCAGCTTTTCCCGAATTGCTCTTCATCGCTATCGTTGAGCATCACTCTTTCTGCTTGCAGCCCAGTGCGAGCCATCGATCTCGTCATGCTGACCTGGTAGGGACGACTCAGATGAAAGGAGTCACACATCCCTATCGGCGAGGTCAACCAGTCACTCTTCAAAACCGTCAACCTGGAAGGCAGAACCAGACCAGATCAAACTAGCCTCGACATGTTCGACGAGGCAGGCTACAAGGTGTGACGCAGGTTTGGTTGGTGGTGAATGAAGCAGTCAACCTCGCACTATCTGCCCAAGCTCAGAATTTGGCAAAAGAAGGTGGCTTATCCAAACCGAGCCAGTGCCAGACCTGCTTCCACGAGCCAAGGCTACTAACCCAAGCCTCGAAATCACCTCGAAGTTATCAATTTCCCTCTCAACGCGTGCTCAGTGAACTGACTGCACGGACGGAGTGGAGTTGTCAAGCACAAACAAACCAGGCTGGTCTGTAGTGGAGTTCAGGAGCCATTGCTTCGTCACTGGTGCTCCTCGCATCTTCTTGCCGCATTACGCTCACGGAATAGCCGATCAGAATACTTAATTCCAGAGTCTCCTAGGCTCGATTCCTACGTCCCAGTCATGGACTCGTTCACTGTGCGCGTCGGCGCGGGAAGGCCTTCCGTAGATGCCGCGCGCAATTCGCTGATTGTAGGTGGTTGATTGTAGCTGGTAGCTCGCTACTTAATTGTAGCTGGTAGGTGGTCATTTGTGCTGTCAAAGGTCGATTTTAATTGACGCATACACTCGTGGAATGGTAGTATCGAGATTCAGGCGGTTTAACAGAGAAATGCGAGAATTGCATAGATGATTCGTCCTGAATTACCCCGACTTTTTCGTTTCGACTTCATCCCTGACTTGCGCTGTTCTTCTGCTGCTGCAGACATCGCCGTTGCTTCTCGAGGAACCAATTCGACTGGCGTCGATACTGGAACACTCTCACTATCACGTAATACCTCAGCCGTCGCAACTTCGCCTCGTAGTAAATTGCACGTGTCGTCATTACCATCACATGTGAATTCATTGCTTTCGTTTGCACCTTCACGAGTACCAGTCTGTGTTCGTAAATGCCACGCTACCAGACTGTTCGGTACATTTCCCCTTCCTCGGCGATCCACAGGGTTTTAAGTCGGTCGTAAAAGCATACGGACAACATGCTCTATTACCTCCTTTCCCTTTTCATTAAGCGTCACACCTCGCTCACCTTCCGTAAATCTCTATATCGCGTACGCTGTGAATGCCAGAGGTCGGTCCCATGCCTGACCAAGATCGTGGGGACGGTAGGCGGCAACTCGAAGACCGTGGAGCAACTGTCGGCTCTGCTTGAAGCGGGCATGACAGGTGCGCGTGTGCTGGGGGAAGGGAATTGTGTTTTTACGAAAAGCGCAGGGAAACAAGAGGGGTGGGAGTGTGAGGAACGGTAGGCGGCAACTCGAACACAGTGGAGCAACTATCGGCTGTGCTCGAAGCGGGCATGACAGGTGCGCGAGTGCTGGGATAATGCGGGGTTGGGTTTCTTGCAAATGGCACGGTGAAAGAAGATGGGTGGGAGTGCGGGGTAGGCGGCAACTCGAAGACCGTGGAGCAACTGTCGGCTCTTCTTGCAGCAGGCATGACAGGTGCGCGCGCAAGTGCTGGGGTGAGGGGAATTGGGGGATGGGTTTGTTGCGAAAGGTGCGGGGAAAGAAGAGGAGTGGGATGGGAGTGGGTGGGGGGAAACGGTAGGCGGAAACTCGAAGACCGTGCAGCAACTGTCGGCTTGCTCGAAGCGGGCATTACAGGTACGCGCGCGCGCGTGTGCTGGGGTGAGGGGAAGAAGGGGATGGGGATGGGGAGGCGGCAATGGCTCGGGGAAGGGAGATGAACGGACGGTAGGCGAAAACTCAAAGGCCGTGGAGCAACCGGGTATGAGAGATGCGCTGACGGGTAGAATGACGGGGAGGAAAAGGGGGTGTTGGAGTGTGCTATTGATAGGCATGACGCATGATGCATACGTGCATTTCAATAGAATGGGGTGGGAAAACGGAACAGGGTTGATTGGTAAAGGTGTGAGCATGGTATGTGTACGGGGTCAAGAATCGTCGCTCCCCTTTCTGCAGCCTTGTTGCGTGATTCCATGTCCCATCCCACCTCCCTATCCCCTCCCCCCCCAAAAAAACCTTACCAATCCCCCCCCGCTCCCTCCCTTCCTTCTCCTCCCTCAACCCAATCCAAGTCACCCCCATCCACCTGACCCCGTACCGTACAGCTGCACGGTTTGCTTTCTTAGTGAACGACATTTCTGGAGGCGCCTAGAAGGCTCACTCACTTCTCATCTCCCACCGGTCTGCGTCACCCTCACTGCCGCGCGTCCCCCCACCCGTCACCCCTCCCCCCTCCCCCCCCCCCTCCCCCCCCCCCCCTCCCCTCCACCCCCTCCTCCCCCCCTGACAGCTGCACGGTTCGACTTCTCTGTGAGCGACCAGGAGAACCACCAGACCAGGAGAACCACCAGACCAGGAGAACCACCAGACCAGGAGAACCACCAGACCAGGAGAACCATCAGACCAGGAGAACCATCAGACCAGGAGAACCACCAGACCAGGAGAACCACCAGACCAGGAGAACCACCAGACCAGGAGAACCATCAGACCAGGAGAACCACCAGACCAGGAGACGTACAAGAACCACGTAGAAGGCTCACTTTCGTCCCTCTCTCTCCTCCTCTCTCTCCTCTTCTCCCCACGTGCAATGCTGCTGTCTGTCGCCCCCGTTCCCCAACCCCCTGACAGCTGCACGGTTCGACTTCTCTGTGAGCGACCAGGAGAACCACCAGGAGACGTACGAGAACCTGCGGGAAGCCATGAAGAAAACGCACCGCATGTGCGCGGTAAGATGGGCTTAATCGTGATGCACACCATGCTACAGTTCGTACAGTACAGTACAGGACAAAGAAAATATGATAAAAGAAACAATTAACAGCTGTACGACACGCACGGGCCTGAGATCACCATCGCCAACACCAACAACGCCGCATTACTTACCAGCACAGCCTCACGCGCACATGTATTCCCCTTCTTCTCCCCACCCTCCATCAGACTGTGTACGACACGCACGGGCCTGAGATCACCATCGCCAACACCAACAACGCCACAGTGACGATGACAGCGGGCAGCACGGTGGTGCTGTCAGGCGACAAGGACCACCCCGTCACTGCCCAGGCGCTCCCCCTCGCCTGCCCCCAACTCGCCAAGGTGAGCGGGAGGGGCGTGTGTGTGTGTGTGTGTGTGTGGAGGGGGGGGGGGAGGAAGGTCGGGTATGACGGTGGCAGCTGCCCACACGCTGCCCCTCGCCTGCCCCCAGCTCGCCAAGGTGAGCGGGAGGGGCGTGTGTGTGTGTGTGTGTGTGTGTGTGGAGGGGGGGGGGAGGAAGGTCGGGTATGACGGTGGCAGCTGCCCACACGCTGCCCCTCGCCTGCCCCCAGCTCGCCCGGGTGTGTGTGTGTGTGTGTGTGTGTGTGTGTGTGTGTGTGTGTGTGTGTGTGTGTGCATCCCTCCCTCGCTGCCATCTCCCAAGCCGTGAAGCCAAGCATATGCTCTCATCCAGTCCAGTCTCATCCCTTCTCCCTGCTCTCCTGCCCGCCCCTGCAATCCCCAGGCGGTGAAGCCAGGGGACGAGGTCTTTGTGGGGCGCTACCACTTCACAGGCAGCGAGACCACCAGAAAGCACACGCTCTCAATCAATCGCATCAACACCCCCCACCTCCTGTCCCTCCCGCCCGCCTCTACCCACCCCAGGCGGTGAAGCCAGGGGACGAGGTGTGTTTGTGGGGCGCTACCTCTTCACACACAGCGAAACCACCACCAGCGGGCACATGATTTCAGCCACTCACATCAGAACGTACCTCCCTCCCCCATATCCCCCCTCGTTGTTCATCCCACCCACCCCAGGCGGTGAAGCCAGGGGACGAGGTGTTTGTGGGGCGCTACCTCTTCACAGGCAGCGAGACCACCACCAGGCAAATGCACATGTTTTCAGCCAATCACATCTGACCCCCCGCACCCCTGTATTTCCCCTCCCTTCCTGTCCAATGCCCATCCCACCCCAGGCGGTGAATCCAGGGGACGAGGTGTTTGTGGGGCGCTACCACTTCACAGGCAGCGAGACCACCAGAAAGCACACGCTCTCAATCACTCACATCAACACCCCCCACCTCCTGTCCCTCCCACCCGCCTCTACCCACCCCAGGCGGTGAAGCCAGGGGACGAGGTGTTTGTGGGGCGCTACCTCTTCACAGGCAGCGAGACCACGTCCGTGTGGCTCAAGGTGGGTGGGTTAGATGGTGAGATGCAATGCAAGGTGGGAGGAAATTGCTTCTATGGAAGGAATGACTCCGGCCGGCCTTTAGGCCTGAATGGTCGTGACTCGTCAGTACTGCTGTGTGGCTCACGGCGAGCCGTGCCTGAAGGAGATGCTTGCATGCAAGGCATCCTATCCTTCATTTTTGTTCCCACCCACCTTCTCCTTCTCTTCTCCGCATTCTTTTCATTTTATCCAGCTGCCCTTCACCACCCATCCGCCACGCTCTTCATCTGTTTCCATTTCCCTCCTCCCCCTCTCCCCCCCCAACACTTCCCCCCTCCCTTCCCTTTATCCCTTCCTCCTCTTCGCCCCCCCTCCCCCACTCCCCGTCTCCTCTTTTTTATTTTCTCCCTCATGGTCTTGAGGCGCCTTGAACCAACTCTTCTCCCACTTCTCCCCCACTCTTTCTTCCCCGCACTCAACCGCTTCCCACCCATTTCCATCCAGGTGGAGGAGGTGAAGGGGGACGACATAGTGTGCACAGTGACCAACACGGCAGAGCTGCAAGGGGACTTCTTCACTGTTCACGCTGCCCAGGTACAGCTCATCCCATGCCATGCTGAGGTATATACCATGGGGACCCAGATGCGGCTCATGCCACCCAGGTACGGCCCATGCCATGCTGTTTTGAGACGTCTCAAAACAACTCTTCTATCAGGTACAGACCATGGGGCCCAGCCCAGATACGGCCCATGCCGCCCAGGTACGCCCCATGCCATGCTGAGGTGATTCAGAAGGAGACTAGTGTGCACGGTGACCAACACGGCAGAGCTGCAATGGGACTTCTTCACTGTTCACGCTGCTCAGGTACATGCTGAGCACAATCACTTGCATCTGATTTGTGCATTGAGGTGTATTTTGAGGCGCCTCAAAATTCATCTCTGCTCGCGCTGCTCAGGTACTCGCTCAACACAATCACTTGCATTTGATTTGTGCCATCACGGGTGGACACGGACGGACGGGTACACTGTCGTCCCCTTTGAGTTTTCCTTGTTCCCTTCTCCTCCACTCCATGATCCGTCCCATCACAGGTGGACACGGACATGCCTTTCCTCTCCAAGGTGGGCGAGCGCCATCTGTTCCCATCAGCGCGTCTTGCTGCAAACACAAAGCCGTCACTGCCCCCTCACATGCTCCTCTCCTCTGTCACTCATCCCATCACAGGTGGACACGGACATGCCTATCCTCTCCAAGGTGGGCGAGCGCCACTCTCTCCCGTACCGTACCCATTGTGTGGGGCTTGGAGTGCTGCTTGCTGCAATCACATGGCTGCCCGTTCTCATCCCTTTCCCTCACACACTCCTCTTACACACCACAGGTGGACACGGACATGCCTATCCTCTCCAAGGTGGACAAGTGCCACCAGTCTCATCCCCTTTCACCCGCTTCCACTCCCTTCCATTCCTCTCACTCCCACCCTCGCTCCTCGCCCCGTCCCATCACAGGTGGACACGGACATGCGCATTCTCTCGAAGGCGGACGAGCGCCACCACTCTCTCCCATTTCCCATATCCCATGCCCCATCTCCCTTCCCCTTCCTCCACCCTTCACAGGTGGACACGGACATGCCCATTCTCTCCAAGGTGGACGAGCGAGCGCCATCTTTCCAATCCCCCTCAACCCTGCTTGCTGCAAACACGTAATTGTCACTGCCCCCTCTCCTCTGTCACTCATCCCATCACAGGTGGACACGGACATGCCCATCCTCTCCAAGGTGGACGAGCGCCACCACTCTCTCCCATCTCTCATTTCCCATATCACATGCCCCATCTCCCTTCCCCTTCCTCCACCCTTCACAGGTGGACACGGATATGCGCATTCTCTCCAAAGTGGACGAGTGCCACCACTCTCTCCCATCTCCCATTTCCCATATCCCATGCCCCATCTCCCTTCCCCTTCCTCCACCCATCACAGGTGGACACGGACATGCCCATCCTCTCCAAGGTGGACGAGCGCCATCTGTCCACGTGGGGAGTTAACTGCTTGCCGCACATCATCTTCCTCTCCTTCACCCGCAACGCAGAGGACATCAGATATGTGAGTCGATTTCATCTAACACGAGAAACCACACACATCCTGCTTGTCACACAACATGTGAGTGAGCGAATGCACAGATGCTCCCCATCCCTCTCCATCCCTCCCTATCCCTTCCCATCCATCCCTCCCCATCCCTCTCCATCCCTCTCCATCCCTCCCCATCCGTCCCCATCCGTCCCCATCCATCCCCATCCCTCCCTCTGCCCCCCATTCGGGCCATCCTCCCCAACCCTGTCAGGGGTCACACGCAACTACCTCTTGTCACTATGTTAGCTCATATTTCCTCCTTACTCCCCTCATCCCATCCCCATCCGGGCATCCCTCCGCATCCCCTCTCCATCCCTCTCCACCCCACTCAGGCGCGCAATCACCTCGCCCAACTGGGCAAGCTCTCGCAGTCCTTCATCTTTGCCAAGATCGAGAGCATTCAGGTGCGCCCGCCTTGTGCCGCTGGTTGTTGTTCTGTGTTGATGCATTGTTTCTCGATCCAGCCAAAACTCTTCCAGAGTTGACGTGTGAGTCGACTCAAAATTCAACTCGCCCAACTCGGCAAGCTCTCGCAGTCCTTCATTCATCTTCACCAAGATTGAGAGCATTCAGGTGGGCTCACTCACAGCATTCAGGTGGGCTCACTCACAGCATTCAGGTGCGCTCACTCACAGCATTTAGGTGGGCTCACTCGCAGCATTCAGGTGGGCTCACTCACAGCATTCAGGTGGGCTCACTCACAGCATTCAGGTGGGCTCACTCACAGCATTCAGGTGGGCTCACTCACAGCATTCAGGTGGGCTCACTCACAGCATTCAGGTGCGCTCACTCACAGCATTTAGGTGGGCTCACTCGCAGCATTCAGGTGGGCTCACTCACAGCATTCAGGTGGGCTCACTCACAGCATTCAGGTGGGCTCACTCGCAGCATTCAGGTGCGCTCACTCACAGCATTCAGGTGGGCTCACTCACAGCATTCAGGTGGGCTCACTCACAGCATTCAGGTGGGCTCACTCGCAGCATTCAGGTGGGCTCACTCTCAGCATTCAGGTGGGCTCACTCGCAGCATTCAGGTGGGCTCACTCGCAGCATTCAGGTGGGCTCACTCACAGCATTTAGGTGGGCTCACTCGCAGCGTTCAGGTGGGCTCACTCACAGCATTCAGGTGGGCTCACTCACAGCATTCAGGTGGGCTCACTCGCAGCATTCAGGTGGGCTCACTCGCAGCATTCAGGTGGGCTCATTCACAGCATTCAGGTGGGCTCACTCGCAGCATTCAGGTGGGCTCACTCACAGCATTCAGGTGCGCTCACTCACAGCATTCAGGTGGGCTCACTCACAGCATTCAGGTGGGCTCACTCGCAGCATTCAGGTGGGCTCACTCACAGCATTCAGGTGCGCTCACTCACAGCATTCAGGTGGGCTCACTCACAGCATTCAGGTGGGCTCACTCACAGCATTCAGGTGGGCTCACTCGCAGCATTCAGGTGGGCTCACTCGCAGCATTCAGGTGGGCTCACTCGCAGCATTCAGGTGGGCTCACTCGCAGCATTCAGGTGCGCTCATTCGCAGCATTCAGGTGCGCCCACTCGCAGCATTCAGGTGCGCCCACCTTGTGCCGCTGGTTGTGCTGTGCTGTTGTGTTGCTTGTTGAATCAGCCAAAAATCTTCCAAAGTAAAAAAGCCATGGGTCACATCTTGAAGTTGCTTGAGTGTGCACAGCACAGCACAGCACAACCAGCAGCATATCACAACAACACAGGACAGTGCTCAACAGACTTGTGGATGTGTCCGCGCGTGTACGCGCGTGTGTGTGTGTGTGGGGGGGGGGGGGGGGGGGGGGGGGTCTGTGTGGGTCTGTGTACATTTGTGTGGGCTTGCGTGTGCATGGTGTGTGTTTCCATGTGCACACAAGCAGGGGCTGAGGAAGATAGATGAGATTCTGTCAGAGGCAGATGGGCTCGTGCTGGGGCGAGGTGATCTTGGAATCGACCTGCCTGCAGAAAAGGTATCACTCTACTACCTCTGAGAAACTACTGATGCCGCTCTCACTTCCAGACCACTGTGAGGCCGGCCATGTAGCTTAAAGCAGCAGTATACATTTGACAGTGGGGTTCAGGGTTTTGCGGTGTGCCTCACAACATCGGCCCCACCATGTACCATTTATAAACTTTTGGCACTCGCCCTGCCAAATGTATACTGCTGCTTTAACCGGTAGCACATGCAGCTCACAGCATTTCTCCTTGTCACAGACGAGGGAGACATGCTCCTCCTCTGGTTCCCGTATTTTGGTTCTGGCACAACTGATCGAATCCAAGTTTCACATTTCTCTCTCTACCCAATCCAATCCAAGCATATTTTTTTTCTGATGGAGAAGGTGGCAATATAGGAGGCTAACATACCGGGCAATCCATGTGTCGACACGTGCTCATTCCTTCTCCCTCCCATCCTTCACCCCGCAAACAGGTGTTTCTGATGCAGAAGGTGGCAATCTGCAATCCATGTGACACGTGTGACGTGTCAGCACAGCACGTGTTGATTCTTTCTCTCTCCCTTCCCTCTCTCTCCCTCCCTTCATCCCGCAAACAGGTGTTTCTGATGCAGAAGGTGGCAATCTACAAGGCCAACATGGCGGGCAAGCCATGTGTCATCTCGCGAGTGGTCGACACGATGACAGACACGCCCCGCCCCACCCGTGCTGAGGCCACCGACGTCGCAAACGCTGTGCTGGATGGTGGGTGGGGTGGGATGGGTTGTGAAGTGACTATATCAATCAGTGTGTGTATGAGTAGCGGCTCTACGATAGAATAAATCACATGTGATCACAGTCACACCCCGCCCCACTCGAGCTGAAGCCACCGACGTTGTGCAAAATTAGTGAATGGGTGCTGGACGGTGGGTGGTGCAGGGCTGGGTGGTTGGGTGGGTGGGTGGGCGGCCGGGTGGGTGGAAGACTGGGTGGGTGGGCGGGGGGTTGGGTGGGTGGGTTGGTGGTGGTGGTTGGGATCAATGGTCGGTGGGTGAGATTGAGTGACAGTGGGTGCGATTATGCTGGGAGCTGAGATGGCTAAGAGGGCTTTCTCTTTCTTCATATTGACCTTCTGTCTTCTGTCCTCGCTCCTTCCCTCTCCCTTTTTGCCCTCTCCACTTTCCCTTTCCTGCCACCCTCCTCCCTGCTTTTGCCGGTGCTTTTCTGTTTGTTTGCTTGTTTTTTTGTTCATTTTTGTGTTCGTCTGTTTATGTCTATTTATTTATTTGCATGTACTTGTCCAGGAGTGGATGCTATTATGCTGGGAGCTGAGACGCTGAGAGGGCTGTACCCTACTGAGACAGTGTCAACTGTGCGCCTCATCTGTTCCGAGGTGTGTTTCATTTCATCTTCGGAAAGGTGCGTTTCATCTGGGCAAAGTAGAGTTTCATGTAACGCAGCTCCATCGAGGTTTCACATGTGCATGGCGTGTGTCATGTCTAGGAGTTCCCGCAGAATGCGTGCTCGCACACACGAGCACGCACTCTCGTGCGTGTTTGTAAATGCATTGACTTTTGAGTCGAACCGTGTTTGTGAATGCATTCTCGAGCAACCTGCATACACTACCTTGTACCTCCTGCCTCACCCACGATGGGGCAGCTCACCAAAACCATTCCATACCCCCCCTCCAGACTCTCACATCAGTATCTCTATGCCCTAATGCATCTCCTGCCCCTGCCAGGCGGAGAATTCACACGCAGTCGTTCCCTCTGCCTTCTCCCCCTCACATCAGTCTCTCTATGCCCTCGTACATCCTCCCCCCCCCTCCCCCCTTGCCAGGCAGAGAAGGCGTACAACTAGGAGCTCTATTTCAACAAGGCGGTCAAGGAAGCCAATCTGCGGTGCTACTTGCAACCCAACCAAGAGCTCTATTCCTTCCAGCACACCCCTGCCCCTGCCAGGCAGAGAAGGCGTACAACTAGGAGCTCTATTTCAACAAGGCGGTCAAGGAAGCCAATCTGCGGTGCTACTTGCAACCCAACCAAGAGCTCTATTCCTTCCAGCACACCCCTGCCCCTGCCAGGCAGAGAAGGCGTACAACCAGGAGCTCTGTCTGAACAAGGCGGTCAAGGAAGCCCAAGGACCCCGGTTGTACCTTTTCCACCCAACCAGGATGAGAGTGCTCCACCTCTGCCTTCTCTCTTGCAACTCACGCACTACCCTCTCTGACTTCTCCTTTAACCTGCCAGGCGGAGAAGGCATACAACCAGGAGCTCTATTTCAAGAAGGCGGTCAAGGAAGCTACCGACACCATGAGCGAGCTTGAAGCCATGGCCTCATCCGCGGTAGGTCTCTTATTGAATCAGCTTATATTGCGTACATGAATCGTGCAATGGTGGTTGTACTCTCTGTGTGCACCCCAAAACCCAGGGCTAAAAAAGGCACCTAGAGCACTTTCGGACACTGTCCTTCAGGCACGGAGAAGTAATCTGTGGGAATGTATTCTGATGAGCTAATTCTTGTGGGAATTCACCTGGCAGGTGAAAACAGCAGAGAAGGTGCACGCAGCAGCGATTGTGGTGTTCACCTCCTCGGGAAGAATGGCCAGGTTAGTCGCCTGTAGACCTTTCCAGATTAAGTCAACAGAAGTCAGATGAAGTCAACCGAAGTCAACTGAACTGTGATTCCTTTGAAGTATGTCACCTGATGGTCACCACCTGACGCTCCTCCTGTCAGGTGGTCAAATCTCGTCCTCCCTCCCACCCACGGCGTCCTCTCCCTTTGATGACGCTCGTGCCCCAACTATGAGCCATCCGCACCTACTTGGAGTAACCCCTTCGGTGCCTTCTCCCACTCCCCTGATTACCTGCTTCCTCTTACTGCCTCCTCTCCCTTTCCGAGCCGTCCGTACCAGAATGAGTAACCCCTTCTGTGCCTCCCACCCTCCCTGATTCCACCCCACGCTCGTGGCCAAGTACAATGCCGTCCATGCCTGTGTTACTCACTCTGGTTCCTCCACACCTCTCCCTTCCTTCTTTCCCCCTCTCTTCCCCCCCCTCCATGCCACGCTCATGGCCAAGTACAATGCCGTCCATGCCTGTGCTCACTCTGATCCCTCCACACCTCTCTCCTCCCCCTTTCCCCCTCTCTCCCTAACCCCCTCTCCCCCTTTCCCCCTCTCTCCCTTCCCCACCTTCCCCCCTTTTCCCCTTCTCTCCCTTTCCCCCTACCCCAACCCACCACACCCGCCCCTCCCTCCCCTTCTCCCACTGCTCTCTCTTCCATGTCAATCTCGTGGCCAAGTGCAAGCCATTCCCCTCAGCATCCCACGCCTCTCCCCTCCCTTTTCCTCCTCTTATTCCCCTCCCTTTACCCCCTCTATTTCTCCTCTCTTCTCCCCTACTTCCCAGGCTCGTGGCCAAGTACAAGCCAACCATGCCCGCGCTCACGCTCGTCATTTGAAGTCCTCCCGTCCCCTTACCGCCTCTTTTCCCTCCCCCCTCCTGCCACACCCCCCCCTCCCAGGCTCGTGGCCAAGTACAAGCCAACCATGCCCGTGCTCACGCTTGTCAACCCACCCCTCTCCTCTCCCCTTTCCCCCTCTCTTTCCTCCCCTTCCCCTCTTTCTATCCCCCCCCCCTCCTCTCTCTTTCTCCCCCAGGCTCGTGGCCAAGTACAAGCCAACCATGCCCATTCTGACGCTTGTCATTCCACGCCTCTACGTTGATAAGCTCAGATGGACGGTGCAGGGTGAAGTCCCGGTGAGTTGATCAGCTCAGATGGACGGTGCAGGGTGAAGTCCCGGTGAGATTTCTCTTGTGCTCTGTGCATGGTACAGGCCTGCATACCCGGGTGAAGTCCCGGAGAGATTCTTGTGCTCTGTACATGAGCTGATGTTTCTTGAAGGCAAGTCAGAATCAAGGACATTGCATTCTATTATTTCTCCATGGAAGCTGCAAAGGGAGGCATGCAATGTCCATAGTGCTGCAACGGTGGAACCTATCACCTTATTGGCTGCGACTCTCCGTCCCTCCACTCCACTTTTTGCAAGAATGCAAATATTTTCCACACCTGTTCACTGTCCATATCCCTGCTGTTCATCCCTCCACTCCTCCCCCCTGCTGCATGCTTAAGCTGCTGCATCTTGCTTTTATTCAGTATTGTCATGTCCAGTTTTCCTGGACGAGTCTTGGTCTCCATCCCTTGAACGCCCGACCTCCCCTGCCCCTCCTTTCCACTGCAACAGGCCCACATGTGTTGTCTGATGCGAGGCCTCATCCCCATGATGGCTACACCCAAGACACTGGTATGTCTGCAGTGAATTGTATGATACAGTTTGGACGCTAATCTCGCGAAGGAAGCACTTCCATAGGGCTGTAACATTGGGCCCTTCTGTGCATTCATTGTCCTTCGTATTTCTGTCAAACTCCTTGCTATCGTGATGTAAATCTAGTGTTCTTCTCAGTCTCCCTGTGTCCGTACTCCCATGTGGTTGTCTATTTGGTATCAATTCCTATACTTCCTTCCCTCAGGAGCAAAGCGATGTATCCACTAACGAGACTGTTCTCAAGGAGGCCATTCTTCAGGGCCAGCGCATCGGAGTGCTGAGGAAGCACGACAGGGTGGTGGTGGTGCAGAAACTCGGCGACTCCGTTGTGGTTCGAGTCGAAGAGGCCTTGCCTTACGTGAAATAAACTAACTCCTATGAAAATTTGCCTCCTAAAATTCCTTCCTGGGCTCATGGCCTTTCAGATATGGCCATGAGCGTGTGAACCTTGAGAATGGCTTGGGCAGAAATAGCTAGGATGTCATTATTATTTACTAGTGTACCCGGTAGTGTACTGGTTTCTAGTTCCGTTATGTTGCACACTCTTGAAGGTTGGTTGTCCAGCGTTGGATGAGCCTTGGTGGTGAAAGTCAGATCTGCTAGTTTGATGTATAGTAGATCAGAAACATTCAGTGTCGTGAAGTTACTCAGTACCGTTTATCGAGTTACCGCTTGGACAAGCATAATAGGATGCAACATCGCCAGTGCGCGAGTGGTTGGTTGGTTGGTGTTACCGTTTCTCGCTCGAAGCTCCAGCTCATAAGATCGACGGCTGTTACCGACCAGAACCAGACGAGATTGGTCTGTAGCACTACTTCAGTCCCCGACATATTTTTATTTCAATATCAAGGCTTGTATCATTAAAAATCACTGAACCATAAATCAACCTGAAAATTGGAAAACAGACCGCTTTCAACCGTCTAAAGCTCAGTGCTTGATGTAATGGTGGTGAAGCTTGACCTTGGAGAGGGTGTGAGTGGAGCAATTTCGATGCTGTCGCGGTGGTTATCTGGCTAATTGATAGTGTCTGCCTACCAATTGCTGCATTCTATGGTGCGTTTAGGCTATCATTTATCACTCTCGCTCGGCTTTCTGAGACGATCCGAAGTGCTGGATCGCGATCGGACGTGTCCGACTCGTCTCCTCTTGGCACGCAGTGCGCTTCTCCCGTTCAGTCCGCAGCTGCTCGTATTTCCCAGACACGAATCGCGCCGAACGCATCAACGCAATACCAAATCTTTGATTCTGGCAAGTTCTGAAAGAACATTTTTATCTTTGGGTTTCTGCGAGTCGTATCTCGTAGGCAGAACGGATTCAGTAAGCATCATGCCTGGCTGGCATAACGGGGAGACGATAGCATACTCGTAGTAGTAGTAGCTGAATAATGGTGTAGGGCCGCAACGCGTACACACCCACAGCTTTAGTTTCACAGGCATGACACGCCGTAACTCGCCGGACCTTATAACCTTCCAGCCTTATTACCGTACGCAAGACTGACTGAACCTTGTAACCGTACGCAACCGTACGCAATACTGACTGGACGTTACAAGACTGGAAGTTTGCAGACAGGGAGAAGTATGCAGGGTAGATAATGCGAGAAGTGGCGTTAAGACGGCATAGCCAATGGATCTGGAATACCCTGTCGTGCTGCGTGAATGGCGCGCGGGGTACGAATGTCGCGCGGAATCCGGGTGGCGCGCAGCACGCATTTTGAGCAGCCTTCTGCTGGCTGCTTGCCACGTGGCCGCCCTCATTACAGTCACTCAAGCGGGTAATCACACTCTTGCCCTTTTGCCCGTCTCCATGTGGCTTTTTCCCATTGTTCTGTGAGCTCTGCTGTTGGATTATTCTAAGACAAGGAAAACATACTAAATCCAGACAACAACCACGTGTGGTGCCTCTGCTTTCGCCTGGGAAATAACACTCGAGCTACCCTACCTCTCTACCCCTCTATTCATGCCTTTCTAACCACAGTAAGTAATTCTGCACTGCATTTACTTCAATCCACTCGACAGATCAGGTGCAGAGGTTCAGTGCTGCATCTGGCGCAGTGCTGCATCTGGCGCAGTGCTGCATCTGGCGCAGTGCTGCATCTGGCGCAGTGCTGCATCACGTGCAGTGCTGCATCACGTGCAGTGCGGCATCACGTGCAGTGCAGCACACAGTGCTGCTACTGGGCTGGCTGAGTGCGCCAGATGCTGCTGTGCTGATTGAGTCGAGTCCACAGAGATGAAGTTCCACCCCTCTCCTCGCCTCCCCACCCCCTCTCCTCGCCTCCCCACCCGCTCTCCTCGCCTCCCCACCTGCTCTCCTCGCCTCCCCACCCGCTCTCCTCGCCTCCCCACCCGCTCTCCTCGCCTCCCCATCCGCTCTCCTCGCCTCCCCACCCGCTCTCCTCGCCTCCCCACCCGCTCTCCTCGCCTCCCCACCCGCTCTCCTCGCCTCCCCACCTGCTCTCCTCGCCTCCCCACCCGCTCTCCTCGCCTCCCCACCCGCTCTCCTCGCCTCCCCACCCGCTCTCCTCGCCTCCCCACCCGCTCTCCTCGCCTCCCCACCAGCTCTCCTCGCCTCCACGTAGGGCAGAACGCAGGGCCGCTGCTCCCCTCTCTCATCCCCTTCCCAACCCCTCTCTTCCCCTCCCCACCCCTTCTCTTCCCCTCTCCACCCATTCTCTTCCCCTTCCAAACCCGCAGCAGATGCAGTGGACAACACAGGGCCGCTGCTGGGGCGAGTGGGTCAACTGCAGCATCAGCTGCACCACCAGCTGCTGCCCTCCTCCCAAGCCTCCACCCACCCACTACCCTCCAACCCACACGGTCCGAACCAAGCAGCAGTACGCTCAGAACGTTCTGACCAAGTCCCCCTCTCAGAGGGCTCAAATCAGCAGCGGATTGATTCAGCAGATTGGGAGGACCAAGCCCTAGGGCGTTTGGCGTCAGGCGGATTGGGAGGTGGTGGTGGTGGGCGGAGGAGCGGGGTAGAAGAGGAGCGGAGTGCAGCAGGGATGGTGGATCATGGGGGAATTGTGCCGGAAGGGGTTGTGCCTGATGCGCTAGATAGGCGCATTCCAATGCTCATCCGGTGAGTCTCGCCTCTTGTTACTCTTCCCTGGTGTGGTTGAACAAGAGGGTCTCTCTATGGTCCTGATGCCTGATTGGATAAATGAGTAGCTGATTCCGGTGAGCCCCTGTGCAAATGCCTGATCCTCCATGTGCTCTTCTGCTCCTCCATGTGCTCTTCTGCCCCTCCATGTGCTCTTCTGCTCCTCCATGTGCTCTTCTGCTCCTCCATGTGCTCTTCTGCTCCTCCATGTGCTCTTCTGCTCCTCCATGTGCTCTTCTGCTCCTCCATGTGCTCTTCTGCTCCTCCATGTGCTCTTCTGCTCCTCCATGTGCTCTTCTGCTCCTCCATGTGCTCTTCGATCGAGTTGGAAATCTCACGCACCAACTCAAATCTGCCGGCTTCGAGCTACCATCTTGGGTGGTGGTAATCTCCATCATTCTCAATCTGCCGGACTCCTTCAAGACTCTCACAGAAACTATTTGCACCGTGAAAGACATCAAGTCTATGACGGTTGAATACCTGCAGTCACGTCTACTCGATGCCGATTGGGAGCGGTCACAATCTGGTACAAGCCGCAACATGGAAGGTGCATACAACCTCCATTCCCAGCCCTCCCACCCTATTCGCTCCGGTTCCCGCCAGTCCCCTACTTGCCGCTACTACAAGAAAACCGGCCACACCATTGACGAATGCTTCAAGTTGAAGAAGAAGAAAGAGCTCGAAGAAAGCTCTCGACGGGAGAAATCTGTCATCTAGCCTTCGGTGCATGGGTCAACAAGCTCCTCCGCCGACATCCCTTCGATCTCCACAACACCTACTGCCCCATCAGCCCCTCAGTCCGTACCTGATTCCCGGTACGTTGACATTGCTTTCAGCACCAGCCACCGGCCCATCCTCCCTTAGATGGAATTGACGCTGGGGAAGGCCAGCGTCAAGCGTCAATTCGGACCGAATTGACGCTGGACGCTGGACGGGGACTTTGACGCTTGACGGTCCCCCGAAATGTTTTCGGGCAGCCCGAAATCGGAAAAAAGAAACGCGCAAAAAAAATCCGAACATTGAAGTTCGCGCCGAAAACGCGACTTCAAAATTCACTCGACATTGCACCACACTGAAAACTCACAACGCAAAAAACAACCCCCCCACCCCTTTCAACCGCTGAACAACTACAAAACACAACCTGCAGACACACATTTAGCACAAGCACACAACTCCCGCAACTTCATTGTAGGTTTACGACCAGCAACCCCCTCGACTCCTAGCTTAGCGCGCGACATTAGGGTTAGCGTTTTTAGTAGAAACATAGAAACCGATCCTACCGCCATGGCTTCCTCCAACCCTAGTACATCGAATGAAGAGACCCATGGAGCATCGATAGCTGGTTCTAGCGAAGGAATAAAGTACGAAGAAATGCCGGAACATTCTACATACAAGCACTTTTTATTTTTTATGGATCCTAAGAAAGGCAAGGGGAAGAGGGCGATGTGCAAATTTTGTTCCCACGATTTCATGAAGTCCACGACGCGGTGCTCTCAGCATCTCGCGGTTTGGGAAGGTCAACCTAAGAATCGCGATGTCCTCCTTTGTCACAAAGCTCCCAAGGATGTGGTAGAGTCTATTAAGATATTGTACGAGACTAAAGGGAAGGCGAAAGAGGACAAGGGGAAGGCAACGGCCGCGGCGATGGAGGCGATTAGTGGTGGGTTCGGTCCTAGTGGGAAGAGGAAAATTTCAGACTATTTTGGCGGCGACGCGGCGGTGGCAAAAGCTAAGGCCGATGAGTCGCTCTGCCTCTTCTTCGCCGGCCTTCGTATTCCCGAGCACCATGCGGATCACCCGCTCTTCCGCAACATGTTGAGGGCGGCGGCTGAGGCAGGCCCCGGCTACGTCCCCCCCGGTACGTTGGCGGCGCCGGCCTCCAGCAGTGCCGCATTCGGATCGAGGAGGGGTTGGGGCCCATCAAGAGGACTTGGGGGAAGCAGGGTGTCACCATTGCGAGCGACATGATGACCGATCGCAACAGGCGCGCACAGGCGAACGTGCTCCTGATCAATGACAATGGGGCATCGATGTTTACAGAGAGCATCGACTGTGGGAAGGATCAGAAGACGGGCACCTACATTGCGGACATGTTACGGCCCATCGTGGAGGAGGTCGGGCCCCAGAATGTTGTGGCGCTGTGCACGGATGGGGGGAGCAACTACCGCTCGGCGTGTCGGAAGTTGGGTGTGGAGTTTCCGCACATTGAGCTGACGCCATGCGCCACCCACGTGATTGACCTGCTGTTGGAGGATGTGGGGAAGATGGACTGGGCGAAGAAGCTTGTGGACAGGGGGAACGGCATGATAAACTTCTTGCGCAAGCATCATTGGACCCGCGCGATGTTGAGGGACCCGACGCTGCCTGGGGATAAGGTGCTGCAGGCGTTGCGTCCAGCAGGGACTCGCTTTGGCACTCAGTACATTGCGATGTCGAGGTTGTGCGAGTTGGAGCAGAAGCTGATTGTGCTCGTGACGGGCGACCTGTGGAAGGGGTGGGCGGTGGGGGACAGGGAGGAGGGGGCCGAGAAGTTTGCAAAGGAGGTGATTGATCCGGCTTGGTGGAAGTCTGCTGCCTTCTTTGTGAAGCTGCTGCAACGGCCCTATGAGGTGATGCGCATGACGGATTCGACTAGACCTGAGATGATGGGCCGCATGTACGACCTCATGCTGCAGCTGACGGAAGATATGGAGAAGGTGTTGGATGCGGATGAGCAGCAGCTGAGCAGGGCGGAAAAGATGCGGATCTCACGCATTCTGAAGGACCGCTGGGACAACAGCCTCGCGTGTGCCATGCACGTGGCTGGCCGGATCTTGAACCCGCTTAACCAGGACGAGGAAATATTCGGGATCGATGTGGAGTGCACCAAGGTCTTTAAGGAGTTCATTGCGCGCGCCCAAGACTTCTACAAGAAGTATCCCGCCATGAGTGGAGTGGTGGGGAGGGAGGTGGATTTGGAGGCGGCTGTGACGGCGTACTTGGAGTCGAGGGGGAGTTGTGGGATGCCAAAGGCTATGGAGGCACGGGAGAAGGTGAAGCAAGGGAAGCAGACGATGGAGCAGTGGTGGATGTGGCATTGCACTGAGTGGCCCGAGCTGGCGCGCCTTGCACGTCGTGTTCTGTCCCAGCCCGTATCCGCCGCATCGTGCGAGCGGAACTGGTCTATGTGGGACTTGGTGCACACTGCAAGGCGCAACAAGCTTGGCTCAGTGAAGTGCCGCGACCTTGTTTACGTTGCGCACAACTGGAACGTCGTGCACAACTTCCACAAGGGCCCACAGGTGGGGGTTGTGAAGGGGAACATCCCTGAGGCTCCTATTCTCGAGGGGTATGTCGTGGAGGAGGAGGAGGAGGAGGAGGAGGAGGCGGATGAGGCGGATCCGAAGGTGCTCGAGGACGAGTACAAGGAGTACCAAAAGAAGCCGTAGAGGGGAAGGGCGTGATAGTGATTGTGGCACGCTTTAGTACTTGATGGGTGATCGTGGGATGGTATCTAAGTGGGAGTCGATGGGGGCGGATGGTGGTAATAGTAATGTTGAGAACTATGTATGCATGGTACTACTTATGGAGGTTTTTTTTGGGGGAAAAATCACATTGTTGGCTGCCCGAAGGTTCAACAACCCTCTTACCTTCCTCCCCCCCCCCCGAGACCCCCCCCCCTGGTTTTTTTTGGGCTGCCCGAAAGTTTTGTTTTGCCTGCCCGCCAGAGCGTCAAAACCACCGTCAAACTCTCGGAGGGTTCCGTCTAGCGTCAAAAACGGACCGTCAAAAACGTTCCGAAAAAAACGCTAGCTCCGTCAATTCCAACTAAGCATCCTCCCCACCTGGACTTCTCTCGTCGCTGCTATCTTCATCTTCACCATCCTCCTCCTCCTCCTCCTCCTCCTCCTCCTCCTCCTCCTCCTCCTCCTCCTCCTCCTCCTCCTCCTCCTCCTCCTCCTCCTCTTCCCTTATGGTGCTCCCTACGCATCGGCACTCACGACCTCTTCCTCAAACATGATCCGGACTTCTTCCTGGCTGGTGGACAGCGGCGCATCTTCCCATATATGCTCCGATCGCTCGTTGTTTTCATCTCTCCAGCAGCCAACTGATGATATTATCGTTCGTTTTGGTGGTGGAGAAACTTACAAGGTCTTGGGAGTCGGCACGGTGGTGGCTACGCTTCGCTCACAAACCTCGGAAACCACCATCCAGCTAGACAACGTTCTGTTTCTCCCTTCATCGGTTCACAGCCTGCTCTCGGTTCGTGCACTTGGAGCTGCCGGCATTGCCGTTTCCTTCCCCACTGCAGGGCGGGTTGAGCTCAAAACTGATGCGGCTCATATTGGCGAGGGATTTACCCGCAACAATCTGTTTTATTTTCAGCTGCATCATGGGAGCAATGCTGCCCCCCCCATCAACCCCACGGCATGTCCAGTCAGTCTCCACCACCACCTCCTCATACCTTTGGCATCGCCGTTTCGGGCATCTTAACATGCGGGACCTGTCAACACTTCATATGCAGCAGCTGGTCACCGGTCTTAACCTCTCCTCCTCCTCAATTCCCCAATGCATCTCGTGCTATCGTGGGAAACAAACGCGCCAACCATTTGACGTGTCCCATTCTCGCACCACAACACCGCTCCAACTCATTCATTCGGATATTGCTGGACCGTTTTCATATGGAACTACCATTGGAGGCGCTCGCTACCTTCTCACCTTCATCGACGACTATTCCCGCCACATTACCGTGTATCTCCTACACCATCGTTCAGAGGCATTTTCATGCTTCAAAGATTACGTCACTCGGGTGCACAATATGCATTCCCCGAGGACCATCAAAGCGTTTCGCTTTGATGGTGCCTTGGAGTTCAATTTCGACGCCTTCACTTCATTCCTTAAAGCTCATGGCATCGCTCGACACCGCTCTACGCCGTACACACCCGAGCAAAATGGAGTTGCTGAACGCGCCAATCGGACTATACTTGAGATGGTCCGTTCCTTGCTTCATGACGCACACATGGACAAAGGATGGTGGGGTGAAGCCGCTTTCAGTGCTGCCTATCTCCGAAATCATGCCATTAGTCGGGGTGGTTCAACTTATAAGACTCCCATAGAACTATGGACCGGTGCACGTCCGGACGTATCACACCTCCGCATCTTCGGTTCACTCGTTTCAGTCCTCATTCCTTCACAACGGCACTCTAAGCTCGACGACCGAAGCACGGCCGGCATCATGGTTGGGTATGGTCATCTTGACAGCACCAAGGCTTATCGCATCTATATCCCATCTCAGCACTGTGTCACACTTTCTCGTGATGTCATCTTCATGGAGCCCTCTTCGCCACCTTCCGATGACCCTCGAGAACCTCCATCGTCATCTCCACCACCCATATCATCCTCTCCGCCTCCTCCCCCACCCCCTTCCCTCTCAGCCCCAACCTCCCCTCCCTCTCCTTCACCACCCATGCCCTCTTCCACCACCCTCCTTCCACCATCTCCAACTCTGCCCGCACCAGCCACCTCTTCTCCTCCTTTGTTTTTCAACCTTCCTCTGCCCTCGACGCCGCAAGACTTCCGCCTTCCATCCCTCTCCTCTCCTTCAGCTCGTCCTCCCCCTTGCACCTCTAGTTCCTCACCACCATCCCCTTCAGCTCCTTCCAATCTTTCACTTTTCTCACTGCTCAAGGTCTTACCGTCTCCTTCTGAACCCATTGACTTCACCCTTCCTCCTCTTTCCAAGACATCCGCTAATGCCGCCCTTCATCATCATTACGAACCTCAAACCATTCATGAGGCCCGCACCGGCCCTGATGCTGCTGAATGGATCAAGGCTGCTGATGCGGAACTCGCTGCCCTGCACGCTAATGACACTTACAGCGTTGTTCCTCGACCACCCAATTGCAAGCCGATTCCATGCAAATGGATTTTCAAGGTCAAGGAGCATGCTGATGGTTGTATTGAACGTCGCAAGGCCCGCCTTGTTGTCAAAGGTTTCAAACAACGCGACGGTGTTGATTTCCATGACACCTTTGCTCCTACCGTCCGCTTCGCCACCCTCGGCCTCTTCCTCACCATTGCTGCCGCTTTCAACCTGGAAGTCCATCAGCTGGACATTTCCAACGCCTTCCTCAACGGCACTCTTGATGAAATTCTCTACATGATGCAGCCTCCCGGTTATGAACTTCCGGCGGTCCATGGTGTTGAGCAAGTTTGTCTCTTGCACAAACCGTTGTACGGGTTGAAGCAAGCGCCGCGGTGCTGGTACCGCAAACTTCATGAAGAGCTTGCTGCCTTTCGTCTTTTTGCTGCCCGTGCGGACCCCGGCCTCTTCATTGCTCCTCCTCAATCTCTTTATCGGCCTACAGGTGCATCCTTCTTCATGCTTCTCGTCTATGTTGACTGTGAGAGTACGCCGACGTTCGACATATTTCTCATTTCCATATTTTTACTCCATCTTATTCTCCTTATTTTCCTCTTTCATTTGCACTTTATTTCACCTCAATCGGACTACTATTCTATTTTCTAGAGCTTTCCGATTATTTCACTTATTTGGTATTTTCGGCACCGACATTTACATTATACGGCACCGACAGCACCGACAGTGGTGTACAAGGCGTAATCTCGCCATAATCCGAAGTGCCAATGGGCTTGCGTGCTCATGCGCACTTGTGATTATCTATTCTAGAAGAGCGCGTTCCCGAAGGCTCGGATTATCTGTTGTTTCTATGTATTTCTGAGTATAAATACGCCTTGTACTCACCTTTAGTGCAACATTCTCGAGTGGAAATTCGATCCTGTGACACTTGGTATCAGAGCCGTTTTCACTCGCGGAGTTTCAGCTAAGCAGCGCGCTCAAGAAATTCCTACTTCGAAAAACCGCTGGGGGCGACGAATTCGGCGCCGATGCTGGTAAGCACCAGATTCAGCGTTTTTGAATTTCCCCCCTCGCGCGTTTTTTGAACAGGATCGTGAGTTCGATTGTTGGCGAAAACGTCTGCGATACAGGGACGACAATTGCGAATTGTCGGGACCTATATCGAGCGGTGCAGAAGTAGCGAGACCGACGCGCGACGGATCGAACGACTTCGGGTGAAAGCGCGCGTCATGGCGAAAATTGCGACAGAAGCAGAATCGATCGTGACTTCGCAGCAGTCGCGAAAGTTTCCCAAGGCCCAAGAAATTCGAGCCCCCAACACCTTTGATGGGGAAATCGACGCTATGCGGTGGCTTTTGGCGATCGAAATTTATTTCACCGCCATTGGATGGACAGCACCAGCACTCGACAGAAACAGAATTAATTTTGCAGCAACACTACTACGCGGACCAGCAATTGAATGGATAAGCGGAAGCGGTTTATTAAACCAAGGTGAAGCGACGTGGCAGCAGTTCCGAGAACGATTACTACAACGTTTTGAGCCGATTAATGCAGCGTTTATCGCCCGCGACAAAATACATCGTCATCGACAAATCGGGAGCGTCGCGAACTACACGCATCAAATAGAGGAGTTGTTCAACCGCATCCCCGACGTCACGGAAGGCGAAATGAAAACTGCACGTTCAGCGCTTAAGGACCGCAGCAGTGGAGCAGATATACCGGCGAATATTGGAGGATCGTGGAGTGATTTTTTCAAACCACGAACGGACTCTACCAGGGAAAATCGCCGAGGGAAATAAAATCTCCGCGACACAAGACCCTGCTGGACCCGGACAACTCCAAAAAGGCCCTGTAAAAAGTAAGCACCCCTTCAAAATATCATACAAGGATGCTTTACTTGGAAAAAAATCCCTTGGGTCTACGGCCTTTGTGAAACACAGGAGAAAACACAGAGCTATGGGAAATGCCATATGATCCAATCAACGAGACGATCAACGGGTACAACGAGCAACGCCAACCACTTTTGCTCGAGGTGATCTGCAATGGACGACGCCTCCAAGCACTCGTGGACAGCGGAGCATCCCATTCAGTATGCGACAAAGCAACCCTCGAACGCATCAATGAGAAGTACACGCCTTCAAACTTCACAGCTACGATGGTTGACGGAAGCAAATTACAAGTCTACGGTGAAGCAGCATTACACCTGCAGATGGGTCCTCTTCGCTGGAAACCGACCCTACCCGTCACCAACATCAAAGGGCTAGACTTGATTCTTGGGAGAGATTTTCTGAAGAAATTCAACCCCGAGATCAACTGGGTCACCCGCACGGCGAGTATTTACAATCAAGACAGAAGAGTTCCTCTTCCGAATTGGAGCAACACGGGAGATATTCCGGAGGAGACTCTCGCACGCTTCGAGAAGGACGTGAAGCGCGCCATGGCAGGGTTTGTTGCACTGGTTACCAACGAGGACGAAGGAGAGAGAAAAACGCTCGAGCTTCCACCAGCAATCCAGAAACTTCTAGAAGAGTTCGAAGACGTTCTCCCTGACGACCTTCCAGACCAGTTGCCGCCATACCGAACCCACCAGCACGAGATCATCGAAGAACCTGGTTCAAAACCGACCTTCCGAGCACCATATCGACTCAGCCCTACCGAGTTGGCCGACATGAAGAAGCAGATCGAGTACCTTCTGGACAAAAGACTCATTCGACCATCAACATCACCATACGGTGCACCAGTGCTTTTTCACACCAAAACCTGACGGAAGCTTACGCATGTGCATCGACTACCGAGCCCTCAACAAGCAGACGATCAAGAACAAGTATCCGATTCCACGGATCGACGATCTACTTGACCAGCTTCGTGGAGCCACAGTATTCTCAAAACTCGATTTGAGATCGGGATATTGGCAGATCCGGATGGCGGATAACTCCATCCATAAGACAGCGTTTCGGACACGATACGGATCCTACGAGTACCTCGTCCTGCCGTTCGGACTCACCAACGCACCTGCTACATTCCAGGCCGAAATGAACCATATTCTTAGGCCTCTACTCGACGAATGCATGGTGGTGTACCTGGACGACATCCTGATCTACTCGAGGGACATGAAGCAGCACATCGAACACCTACGACGTGTCTTCGAGATACTTCGACGGGAGAAGTTCTACGTCAAGCTATCCAAGAGCGAGTTTGCCTTGAAGAAAGTTCAGTTCCTTGGACACATGGTGAGCGCTCAAGGAGTCCATGTCGACCCAAAGAAGATCGAAGCCGTACGTACGTGGAAGACACCGGAGAACGTGAAGGAACTTCAGCAATTCCTTGGCTTTGCGAACTACTATAATCGGTTCGTGCCACAGTATGCGAAGATTGCAACACCTCTCACCAATCTACTGAAGAAGAATACACCGTTCAAGTGGGAGGATGTGCACCAGCAAGCCATGGAGCAGTTGAAGACCGCACTCACGTTCGCACCCAACCTGATCCTGCCAGATCCAGAAAAAGACTACGTCATCGAAACTGACGCTAGCGACCATGCAGTTGGAGCAGTCTTGATGCAAGACCAAGGGAAAGGACTACAACCAATCGCTTACCTCAGCAAGAAATTGCACGGGGCAGAACTCAACTACCCGATTCACGACAAAAAGGCCTTAGCGATCATCACGGCATTCAAGACATGGCGATGCTACCTCGAAGGAAGAAAGACCACGGTCTACACTGACCATTGCAGCCTAAAATACCTGAAAACGCAGCCGACCCTCTCCAGACGACAAGTCAGGTGGATTGACTTCCTCGAGACGCACTTCGACTACGACATCGTGTACAAGCCGGGACACAAGAATAAGGCAGACGCACTGAGCCGGCCTGGACACGTTGCCGCCATACAGATTGAGGGGATGAATCCGCTACTCAAGGGACTCTTCACGCACGGGTATACCATCGACCCCGAGATTCCCTTAGCAGAGAAAAAGAAATTGTTGCAGTGGGACCACGACGTCGCACTACGCAAAGGATCAACAAAGATATGGGTACCCAACTACCCGCCTCTTCGGCAGTTGCTTCTCGAAGAATTCCATGACGTGCTCTACGCTGGACACTTCGGGAGTAACAAGACTCTTGCCGGGATTGCGAAAGTCTACTACTGGCCTCACATGGCAAACGACGTGCAAAAGTTTGTCACTTCGTGCGACACGTGCCAGCGGATGAAAAGCAGTAAGCAGAAGAAAGCAGGACTTCTTCAGCCTTTACCCGTCCCGGAACAGCCTTGGCAAGTGGTCAGCTTGGATTTCATCACCGGTTTACCACCTACCAACGCGGGGCATGACGCCATCCTGGTCGTCATCGACAAATTCTCAAAGATGGGACACTTCATTCCGACACATACAACCGCACGCACGGAGGAAACGGCACAACTATTCCTCAAACACATCATCTCACAGCATGGGATCCCAACAACCCTCATATCCGACAGGGACCCCAAGTTTACTAGCAAGTTCTGGAAAGAGCTCATGTCGCTCATGGGGACACGCCTAGCAATGTCATCTGCATATCATTCCCAGACCGATGGGCAGACAGAGCGCTTGAACCAAATTGTGGAACAACTCTTGCGCGCAGCGTGCAAGGACGACATTAACAAGTGGGACTTGCACTTGCCGGTGTTGGAGTTCGCCTACAATAATGCGAAGCATGCCGCAACAGGAGAGACCCCATTTTTCCTCTGTTACGGACGACATCCACTAACTCCACAACAGCCGACAGTACCTGCAACTGTCCAATCCGCGCACGACTTCGTTACCACAATGCAGCAGCTTTGGGATCGGACACACAAGCGTCTACAGGACATATAGTCTTCACAGAAACGCTTGGCCGATCGCCATCGACGTGATCATACCATTGCGGTTGGTGACCATGTGCTTCTCGACACATGCAACCTCAACCTCGGTCACCTTCCATCCAAGTTACGACCTCGCTTCTGCGGACCTTTCCTCGTAGAAGAGCAGGTCACTCCAGTCACATTCCGCTTGCGCCTACCAGCTTCTTGGAAGATTCATAACGCCTTCCACGTGCAGCTTCTTAAACCCTGTCAAGATCCAAATGAGCTGTACACGGGACGCCAACCTCCGCCGCCGCCTCCAGTCCTCGTGAATGATGAACTTGAGTACGAGGTTGAATCTGTGCTTGCACATCGTCGTCGTCGGCATGGCGCCCTGGAGTTTCTCGTACGCTGGAAAGGCTATGATCCTTTTGAGGACAGCTGGGTCTCTGAAGAAGACATGAGTAACGCCCAACGTTCTCTCCGCGACTATTTTGTCAAGCAGGGTGTTACATCTACCACCCAGCTTTGAGGGGGGGAAGTGAGAGTACGCCGACGTTCGACATATTTCTCATTTCCATATTTTTACTCCATCTTATTCTCCTTATTTTCCTCTTTCATTTGCACTTTATTTCACCTCAATCGGACTACTATTCTATTTTCTAGAGTTTTCCTATTATTTCACTTATTTGGTATTTTCGGCACCGACATTTACATTATACGGCACCGACAGCAGCGACAGTGGTGTACAAGGCGTAATCTCGCCATAATCCGAAGTGCCAATGGGCTTGCGTGCTTATGCGCACTTGTGATTATCTATTCTAGAAGAGCGCGTTCCCGAAGGTTCGGATTATCTGTTGTTTCTATGTATTTCTGAGTATAAATATGCCTTGTACTCACCTTTAGTGCAACATTCTCGAGTGGAAATTCGATCCTGTGACATTGACGACCTCATCATTCTTTCCTCCTCTTCTCTTCTTTCCTCCTTCAAGCGTGCCCTTTCATCTCGCTTCAAGCTTCGTGACCTCGGTCCTCTTTCCTACTACCTTGGCTTTCACATCACTCGTGATCGGACCTCCCGCACTCTCCACCTTCATCAATCCAAATTCATCACCTCCATCTTAGACACCTACTCATTCACTCCACTTAACCCTGCTGCCACCCCCATGGACACCAAGTTTCAACCGCCCGTGACTTCCTCCCCACACTCCTCCTTTCCTTACACCTCGTTTGTCGGATCCATCATGTATGCCATGGTGGGTTCCCGTCCCGACCTCACATATAGCGCTGGAGTTCTTGCTCGTCACCTTCATGATTGGTCTACCCCTCACGTCTCGGCTGCCAAACGCGTTGCTCGCTACTTGAAAGGGACTACCTCGCTCGGGCTTCTCCTTGGCGGCATTCCCAACGCCCTTGAAATTCATGGGTGGTGTGACGCCTCTTGGGGACCGGAGGGAGAGCTCCGACGCTCCGTTACGTGCTACTTGTTCTTCCTCGGTCCGTCACTCATCTCTTGGCAGTCCAAACGTCAAGCTGTCGTCGCTACCTCTTCCTGTGAAGCTGAATATTATTCTCTGGGCGCCGCGGTGCATGAGGCATTATGGCTTCGATCCCTCCTTACCGCACTTGGACTTCCCCCAACCGGCTCCACCCACATCTCGTGTGACAACAATAGTGCCATCATTCTGGCCAAGGACGACGGCGTCTTTCATCCCAAGGCCAAGCACATCGACATCAAGCACCATTTCATTCGTGATCATGTTGCCGACCACTCCGTCACCCTTCTCTATGTTCCTACTCAAGACAACCTCGCTGACATTGGCACCAAGCCTTTGCCCCGTGACCCTTTTCTTCGCATCCGTGGTCTTCTCGGTCTCACCCATGTCTCCGCTTGAAGGACCCTACCCCGGGGACATCCTTGAGGGGGGGTGTTGTGCTGCAAGTATGTCCTAGAGGGTAGATTCTCACATTCAGTTTTAGAGGTCGTGGGTTCAATTCTCAGCAGCTGCACTTTCCCTTCTCCTTATGCCCCACATTACATGTCCACACTCCACCACACTCCACCACAGTGAAGTGTGGTCACAGTTGGCATTGCCACCTGTCCACTCATCCCACACTCACCTTGCTGGCCTCTATGGTGTGTCATATGTTGTTATGTGGGCTGTTGTTCCAGCCTGGCCCACATGTGCAACATGTGGCCTCACTTGCTAGCTTGGCAAGGTTGGCTAGCCTTGCCCTCAGCATTGAGGTGCTGCAGCTAGCCTCAAGAGTTCAGCCACATATATGTGGCTTCCCACTTCACTAGGAATTATCCTTGGACAAGGACCTTGCTCTAGTCTTTAAGACTTGTACCATTTTCTTGCTAAGGATATTTCTTCTTCCTATCGTGCCATAAGTTCACCGATCCATTTTCTTCACTCTTCTGCTCCTCCATGTGCTCTTCTGCTCCTCCATGTGCTCTTCTGCTCCTCCATGTGCTCTTCTGCTCCTCCATGTGCTCTTCTGCTCCTCCACACATCTGATTGACGCACAAAGGCAGGCACTTCACTTGGTTTCTGCGTGTGCGCGTCTCTCTACTACCGTCCCTTGCTGCCTGTACATCTGATTTACCCTTCCAACGCTTTTCCCTCCGGCCTTCTCCCCCCACCACTTCACACCCCCATCCCCACCTGCCCCATCCTCCCCACAATCACCGCCAAGAATGAGTCGTGAGCGCCTGCAGTTGCCTGTGAAGCTGCTTGCTTCCACTCAATATCCCATGTGATTCACTTCTCCCCTTCTCCCCGCCCACCCACACCCCATTACCCACACCCTCTCCCCCAGCACAACATCGACATGATCTCAGGGCGCCGGCACCTGCATGTGCGTCCCGTGCCATGTGATCCAAATCCCTCTTCCTCCCGCTCCTCTCCACACACACCCACCCCCAACCACCACCGCCACGCGCACCACCACCATCACCAGAATGAGTCTTGAGCGCCTACAGTTGCATCCGATGTGCTGCCACATGCCACGTGTTCTCCTTTTCTTTTCACTTCTTCGTCCACCTCCCCATCCCCGCGCCCCTCTTCCTCCAACCACCACCATCACCAGAATGAGTCCCAAAGGACTGCAGCTGCCCCTGGAGGTGCTTCAAAAGGCCATGCGACTCACTCACTCTCTTCTCCCTGTCGTTCCTCCCCCATCCACACCCACACACCCACACACCCCCTCAACCATGACACCAGAATGAGTCCAGAGCGTCTACAGCTGCCTCTGGAGGCTCTTCCACATGCCATGCGACTCACTCACTCCCTTCCCTCTCCCTCTCCTCCCCACCTACTCCCTCTCCCCCCCTCCCACACCACGTTCACCAGAATGAGTCCAGAGCGTCTACAGCTGCCCCTGGAGGCTCTTCCACATGCCATCGACAGCAGCGAGCAAAAGAATGTCATGCTAGCATACCGAGAACGGTTTGACAAGTAAGTGGACGCCAGGGGTTTAAGGTTGGAGGCAAGAGGGGAAGGAGGTTATTGCGGGTGCTTGCTGGTTCCATCTTGCCACCATCGACAGCAGCGAGCAGAAGAATGTCATGCTGGCGTTCCGAGAGCGGTTTGACAAGTGAGTGAGCTTCAGGGGTTTTAAGGGGGGGAGGCAAGAGGGGAAGGTGGTTATTGCGGGTGCTTGCTCATTCATTCCATCTTGCCACCATCGACAGCAGCGAGCAGAAGAATGTCTTGGTAGCGTTTCGCGAGCGGTTTGACAAGTGAGAGAGTGGTGTGTGTGGGGGGGAGAAGGAGAGAGGGAGAAGAGGAGGTTGTAGAGTCTCAGATTGACAGTTGCACTCCCATCCTAACCATGAACCATCAGATTGCACTCCCGTCCTAACCATGAGTGACGGCGAGCAGAAGAGTGCCATCTTCCCATCATCGACAGCAGCGAGCAGAAGAGTGCCATGCTGCCATTCCGATAGCGGTTTGACAAGTAAGAGGCCGTTGGGAGGGGAAGGGTGGAGGAGGTGGTGGTGTGGCGGGGAGGGAAGAGGAGGGAAATGGTTCCCTCCATGGGTGCTTGCCCATTTCCATGATTTTTTAGACGTCTCAGAATGGGTTCTTGGGGTGTTTGCTCATTTCCACCTGCCGTCAACAGAGCAACGCCGTGCTGGCATGTTTTAAGGGAGGCTTGACAAGTGAGGGAGCGTGTTTTGAGACGTCTCAAAACTTTTGAGACGTCTCAAAAGGGGTGTTCGCTCATTTCCACCTGCTGTCAACAGAGCAACGCCGTGCTGGCGTGTTTTAAGAGAGGCTTGACAAGTGAGGGAGCTTGTTGGGAAAAAGAGTGGTGGGGAAGGAGGAAGGAGAAAGTGGTTCGGGGGGTGCTTGCTCGTTCCAAGCTGGCGTTGTTGACAGCGTTCCGAAATCTGCTTGACAAGTGAGAAGGCGTGGGGGGAAAGGGGGAGAGGTGGGGGAAAGTGGCTCCACGGGTGTTTGCTCATTTCTGCAGTTAGAAAACGTTCAACGTGAAAAGTCCTCCCTCTCGACTTCCACTCTCCTTCGTCAGGTTCGGCGATTTGATTCGCTTCCTCTTCCTCCTGCCCCCAACCCCCACAGGTTCGGCAATCTCATTTGCTTCCACAGCCCTCCCTGTCCCGCCTTCGCCCCCTGCAGCTCTGCCTACCCCAACATGCATGTGTGCTGGAATTCCCTCCTCAACGCACCTCTCCTGCTGCCCGCCCGCTCACAGGATTGAAGTTGCTGGATGGATCGCTTAGTGCAAGCACACCCGCTCGCTTGTCTCCTGACTGCCCCGTTTTTAAGTCGACTCAAAAACATGCGGGATGGATCACCTAGTGCAAGTGCAAGCACACTGGCTCGCTTGTCTCCTGACTGCCCCGAGCCCTTCAGCCTGAACTGAACACACCTCCTCTTCCTCCTGCTCTCAACCCCCCCAGGTTCGGCGACCTGATTCGCTGCCACGGCCCGACTTCGCCTCTTGTGGTTCTGCCTACCCCAACGTGCATGCGTGCTGGAACCCCCTCCTCGACACTTGTGTATTGAATCCTTCTTTCCCTTACTTCACCCACCATCACACCTCAGGTTCGGTGATCTGATTCGCTGCCATGGCCCTCCTTGTCCCGACTTCGCCTCTTGTGGTTCTGCCTACCCCAACGTCCATGCGTGCTGGAACCCCCTCCTCGACGCACCTCTCCTGCTGCCCGCCCGCGCGCCCCTCAACTGCCCCAAGAAGGTCAACCTCAAGAAGCCGCGGGTTGCATGGCAGAACCATGACAAGACATGCTCGCACCCCAGGGACTTCAACCCCCGAGAGCCGTCCGCCATGCAGGTGCGGCCTGCTTGAATGGTAGGTGTGAGTCTGCTTTTGAGGCGCCTCAAAAGTCAAAACTTTTTGAGGCGGCTCAAAAGGTGTGAGTCTGTGTGTTGCAGAACCACCCACGACCAGACGTGCTCGTATCCACCCCAGAGAGCCGTCCGCCATGCAGGTGCGAGTGTTTGTGCAGGTGCGAGTGTTTGTGCAGCCTGGCGGGTGTGTTGTCTGTGGTGCGTCCCGAGAAGACATTTGAGTCGTCTCAATGTCAGGTGCGTGTGTTTAGTTTATTTTTTAGTCGACTATAGAATGGTTTCATCTGAGTCGTCTCTCAATGTCAGATACGTGTGTTTAGGGCAGGCGTGCTGGCCATGGTGCATTCCGAGGTACCTTTGAATCAACTTAATACAGGTGCATGTCTTTGAGCAGGTGTTTGTCCATGGTGCACCCCACCCGTATGCCAATGCGGCAGCGCCCCATGCCAATGTGGCAGCGCCCCATGCCCATGCGGCAGCACCCCATGCCCATGCGGCAGCACCCCATGCCAATGTGGCAGCGCCCCATGCCCATGCGGCAGCGCCCCATGCCCATGCGGCAGCGCCCCATGCCCATGCGGCAGCGCCCCATGCCCATGCGGTAGCACCCCATTCCCATGCGGCAGCACCCCATTCCCATGCGGCAGCACCCTATGCCCATGCGGCAGCACCCCATGCCCATGCGGCAGCACCCCATGCCCATGCGGCAGCACCCCATGCCAATGTGGCAGCGCCCCATGCCCATGCGGCAGCACCCCATGCCCATGCGGCAGCACCCCATTCCCATGCGGCAGCACCCCATTCCCATGCGGCAGCACCCCATGCCCATGCGGCAGCACCCCATGCCCATGCAGCAGCACCCCATTCCCATGTGGCAGCACCCCATTCCCATGCGGCAGCACCCCATTTCCATGCAGGACCCATGCCCCGATCCTCATGCTCCATGCCCCGTGCATCATGCCTGCCCGGTGCCCCGTGCCCCATGTCCCATGCCCCATAACTCATGCCCCTGTCCCGTTCCCATGCCATGCCATGCCATGCCATGCCATGCCATGCGCCATGCTGTGCCTCATGCAGGTGTTTCGCCTGCATGACGTCATGGTGACACACAAGGGCTTTGTCTTCAATGCCACTCACCGATACGTTCACCAGGGCTGCAAGCGATTCAACCCAGTGAGTGTGAGGGTTACTGTTAGCCGGGTGAGTCAGCATGAGTCAACACAAGTCAACATGAGTCAATATGAGTCACCAAAGAAACCCCCACAAGGGCTTTGTCTTCAACGCCACCCACCGATACGTGCACGAGGGATGCAAGCTATTCAACCCGGTGAGTTACTGTGAGGAGGGCAGTGCTCCATCACCTCCTCTCGAGGTGACTTTTGAGTCGACTCAAAAGTGAGTGAGGGTTACTGGGAGGAGGGCAGTGCTCCATCACCTCCTCTCGAGGTGACTTTTGAGTCGACTCAAAAGTGAGTGAGGGTTACTGGGAGGAGGGCAGTGCTCCATCACCTCCTCTCGAGGTGACTTTTGAGTCGACTCAAAAGTGAGTGAGGGTTACTGTGAGGAGGGCAGTGCTCCATCACCTCCTCTCGAGGTGACTTTTGAGTCGACTCAAAAGTGAGTCAGGGTTACTGTGAGGAGGGCAGTGCTCCATCACCTCCTCTCCCTCCCTTCCCTCCTCCACCCTTTCCCTCCTCTTCTCCCTTCAATGCCAACCCACTAGCGCTCGTATCTAGGGGAAAAACGGGTTCAATTTGAGTCTATGCCCTCACCCTTTTCCACCCTTCTCCACCCCCCTCACCTTCCCATCACCCTCACCCAGTACTCGTACCCTCAGGGGCAGAAGGTGCTTCGAGTCGTTGACTGGGGCTACTCGCAGGGGAGCAACTTCTACCAATTCCTAGTGGAGGCCATCCCCTCACCCTCCCCCGTACCTCCCTTCCTTTCATCTCTCCCTCAACTTTCACCCAGTACTGATACCCGCACGCAAGGCCACAAAATGTGTCGCATCAAGCCGGCCTTTGTTTGGGGCTACTCACAGGGGAGCAACGTCTGCCATTTCCTAGTCGAGGCCATCCCCTCACCCTCCCCCATACCCTCCCTTCCTTTGTTTGGGGCTACTGACAGGGGAGCAACTTGTACCACTTCCTCGTCGAGGCTGTCCTCTCCTTCCCTTCAACCCCTCCTCCCTTCTCCTCCACCCCTTTCCATTCCGCTCTTCTCCGCACTTCTTCACCCATGGCCCTCTCAACTCTCTCCTCCAGTCCTCATACCCGCAGGGCCAGAAGGTGCATCGGATAAAACTGACATTTGAGTGGGGCTAACCACAAGTCGCCAGCTTCAACCACTTCGTAATGGAGGCCGTCCCTTCCTTCTTCATTGCTTCACTTGACCCTCAACCCCTCTCCACCCCTCCCCACCCCTCCAACCTCTCCCTGTCCTGTCGTCTTCCTCAACCAGTATTCCTACCCTCAGGGTCAAAAGGTGCATCACCCTGAACTGGCCTTTGACTGGGGCTACTGGCAGGGCACCAACTGTTTTTTGAGAATTCTCAAAAAACAGACTCATCACCCTGAATTGGCCTTTGAGTCTTTGACTGGGGCTACTCACAGGGCACCAACCAACTTCTCCCACTTCCTTCCTCGCCGTCGAGGTCGTCTCCTACTTTCCCCGCTTCACCCTTCTCCACCCTTCTCCACCCTTCTCCACCCTTCTCCACCCCTCTCCACCCCTCCCCTCCCTGTCCCCTCCCACCTCTCCTCCAGTTCTCCTACCCACAAGGCCAGAAGGTGCATCGGATAAAACTGGCCTTCGACTGGGGCTACACGCAGGGAAACAACTTCTACCACTTCCTTGTCGAGGCCATCCCCTCCTTCTTCGTCGCTGCTGCTGCACTGCCCAACCTCAGAGACATCCCCATCATAGCGGAGCGCTTCCAGGTAGGTGGGTGTGTGGTGGGTGTGTGGGTGTGTGGGTGGGTGGGTGGGAGAGTGGTGGGAGGGTTGGAGGGTTGGTGGGTGGGTAGGTGGGAGGGAGGGCGTGTGGGGGCGGGCGTGTGGGGGGAAGGGTGGGTCCTTGAGTTGAGTCGACTCCAGAACCTTCTCGGCACTCATTAGTTTACCTTCCCTCTCTCGTCATTGTGTGTGCGCAGTGCAGTGGGATTTGCACAGCAGCGCCGGATGCATACTTGTCAGTCTCTAATAAATACCTCGTTGTTAGGTCATATCCTTTTTATCCTTCCCTCTCTCTCCTCCTTGCGCACATGCAGTGGGACCTATACGACAGCCCCAAGTGCATGATCGTGAGCCTTGATGATTCACGTTGTTGATAGGTTACATCCTTTTTATCCTTCCCTCTCCCCTCCTTGCGCACATGCAGTGGGACCTATACGACAGCATAGGCCGCATCTTCATAGGGGTGAATCGCACAGACATGAGAGCCCTGCCAGCAACCGATGGGGACCTATTCCACGTTGACACGCTCTATGTGGTGAGATGGGGAGATGGGTGCATGGGTGGGTGGGTGCATGGGTGCATGGGTGCATGGGTGGGTGGGTGGATAGGTGGCTGGGTACATGCGCGAGTGGGAATGTGGGTGAGAGGCCTGCCACCAGCTGATGGGGACGTCTTTCTCGTTGACACGCTCTATGTGGTATGTGGGTGGGTGGGCACATGGGTGGGTCGGCGGGTGGGTGGGTGGGTGGGTGGGTGAGAACAGCATCGCGTGAGAACAGCATCACGTGAGATGGAGCTGAGGCAGCACCATTTGCTGTTTCACACCCTCTCTCTCCCCTCAACCGTCCGTTGCCCGCTACCCCCTCCTCCTCCCGCCCAGCCCATGCTACAGGAGTGTGGAGCCCCCAACAAGGCCCTCTGGATGGAGTTGAGGCGGCACCACCTGCTGCACCCGCAGGGCCTGCCTCTCTTCCGCCCCGACTTCTCCTACCACTACCGCCCAGCGCTCTCCTACCAGCAACTCACCCACCTCTCCCCTGACTTGGTGGTGGTGCTGGCACAGCGGCCCTCAGGGAAGCGCTCTTTCACCAACGCTGAGGAGGTTAAAGAAGCGGTTCTCGCCGCGTTTCCAGCAGAGAGGGTTGTTGTGTTTGACGGGTCGCTGCAGCTCATGCAAGGTGCGTTGCTTGCCCTTCATGGGGTCTGGTCTGGTTCTGAGGCCCCTTGGGAAAAGAGGGGTTCCTCTTTGAGGCCTCTCCTATCAGCAGCTCACCCACCTCCCCCTGACTGGGTGGTGGTGCTGGCGCAATGGCCCTCAGGGAAGCGCTCCTTCACCAACTCAGAGGAGGTTAAAGAAGCGTTGCTGGCCGCATTTCCGCCGGAAAGAGTGGTAGTGTTTGATGGGTCTCTTCAGCTCATGCAAGGTGTGTTGCTTGCCCTTGATGCGCCTAAAAGGAAGACACAACGGTCTGCGTTTAAGGCGCCTTGGAAACCTAGTGGTCTGCTGTTGAGGGCCCTCTCCTACCAGCAACTCACCCACCTGTGCCCGACTGGGTGGTCGTGTTGGCCCGCAGCCCCACTGTAAAGTGCTCCTTCACCAACTTTGAGGAGGTTAGAGCGGCGGTTTCCGTCGCTCGACGTCTCCCAGGGGGCGTTTCCGTCTCCCAGGGTTGTCGTGCTCGACGGGTCATTGCAGCTGATGCAAGGTGCATTGCTTGCCCATGGGGTAAGGTTTTTGAGGCTCCTTAGGAAAAAGGGGTCTGCCTTTGAGGCTCTCTCCTACCAGCAGCTCACCCACCTGCCGCACGACTGGGTGGTGGTGCTCACACAGCGTCCCTCTGACGCACCTGACACATCTTAGAGAGCTACGGGTGTGGTTTTCATTGAGGCGCCTCCTACCAGCAGCAGCTCACCTGCCTTCCACCCGACTGGCTGATCGTGTTGGCTCGCCGGCCACCATGTGTGAGTGGTGTTGCTCACCACACACACACACACACACACACACACACACACACACACACACACACAAACACACACACACATGGTTCACCTTCACAAAGCTCTCCGTCACAAAGTGCTCCTTCACCAACTCCTCCTTCTCTTCATGCCTGCAGCGTGTGTGGAGTTGTTCTGCCTGGCTTGGATGTTTGTGGGAGGGCACGGGGGCAGCACTCTCCGACCTCATCTTCCTGAACCACCCCTTCCTCTCCACTCTCTCCCCCCCACACTGCCCCCAACCCCCCCGTATTTCTCCTTCCACCCGCACTCGTTTTTCTCTCGTCTCAGCGTGTGCCTTGTTTTGCCGCACACGGCTCTTTGTGGGAGGGCACGGGGCGGCACTCTCCAACCTCGTTTTCATGCCTCTCACCACCTTAGTGGCGAAAGACGCATCCTGCGTCTAGGACGCTTGCGTCCAGACGCAGTGTCTTAGACGCAGGACGCTAGATGAGGGCCTTTAGGACGCATGAAAAGACGCATGCCCGGGCAGGGCCAAAAAAACCCCCGGGCAGTTGAAAAAAAAAGTTATAGGGCTTGGGAAGGGGGGGGGGGGACCTTTGCACACATTCAAAGCAAAGGATGGCTGGAGGAAGCCATTACGGAGGTGGGTACCCTAGCTAAAACCTTGAGGGTTTACGAAGGAGAATTGGGGTTGTGAATGGAGGGAGCACAAATGAGATGTGTGCAACCCTAAATGGGTTTGGTTGGAGGCCACAAAGGTTGGATGTTGTAGATGTAGAGTGGTTGGGGGGGGGGGCTGTTTTCAATGTCGAGTTGCTAGTGGGGGGTCGTTTTTTCGCGAAATTGACATTCGCGTCGAATTCGCGAATGTCAATTTCGCGTTTCGGGATTTTTTTTTTATGGGTGCGTCCTGCGTCTCTGCGTCCGGACGCTGCGTCCAGACGCAGGACGCAGCAGGACGCGTGCGTCTTTCTCCACTTAGCTCACCACTCCCCCCTTCTTCCCCCTCCCCCTCCTCTCCCACTCCTTCCCCCTCCCACCCGCCTCCTCCCCATTTGGTCCCGCCTTCCTCCCCGCTTCTGTCCCCTACTCATTTCCCATCCCCTCCCACAGCCCTTCTTCCCCATTCCCGCAGCCCGTAATGTAATTTGTTCCGTCGCACTCGGATCTTTGTGGGAGGGCATGGGGTGGCACTCTCCAACCTTGATTTCCTCAGCCACCCCTGCCTTCCCACTCTTTTCCCACACTCCACCCGACCTTTCCTTTTCTCCCTTCCTCTGGTCTCTGAGCCCGTAATTAGTTTCGTCGAACTCTGCTGTTTCCAACCTTGTCTTCCTCATCCACCCCACTCCTCCACTCTTCACCCCCCATTCCCCCCCTCCTCCTTCCCCCCTGTTCCCCCTCCACTCCCCCCCTCCTCCTGCCCCCCTTGCCCAACCCCCCCACTCCGCCCCTCCTCCTGCCCCGTTGTCCCCTCCCAACCACACTGCACCCCTTCTTCCCCATTTCCACAGCGCGTAATTTGTTCTGCCGGACACCACTCTTTGTGGGAGGGCATGGGGTGGCACTCTCAAACCCCACCCCCCTCCCTTACTCATTCCTCCCACTTTCCCTCTCCCACACTCTTTCCGCATTCCCCAGCACGTGCTTTGTTTCGCCGGACTCGGCTCTTTGTGGGCGGCCATGGGGCGGCACTCTCCAACCTCATCTTCATGCCCGTCAGATCGCACCTCTTGGAAATTCGCCCTGACAAATGCCCCAACCGGTGTTACAATAGTCTCGCGTATGCGTGCTCGATAAAGTACTATTTGCTGTTTAGCGAAGGGACGTGTGACACCACTGTCATTGCGGACATTCCTAGGCTACAAAGGACGCTTAATTCCATTGCCAGGAATCTCAAAAAGGAGGATGTGGCTCTTGGACGAGCTTGGGAGCCTGCTTGATTAATATATAGTAGTGTTTGTTAATTTCATAAGTAAATATGTATGGTTAATGAGCAGCAGAATGACGGTACAAACAGTGGAAGCCAAGAACGTTTTCAGTAAACAGCTTTCTTTAATGCTTTTATTCCTTCAATGCAAATACGATATGTGTCTGCCTGTTTCCACCTCATATTTTGCCACAAATGATGAACACATCACACATGTAGAATAGGGTTTTAACATTTCCACATGGAACAACTAACTCGACAAACTCGTTTGAGGAACTGAACTGGATAACTCTTTCGCCAAGAAATGTATGCGCATCGAGTCCGCGTCGCTCCAGAAAGCATTTCCTTTCAATGTAAGCACACCTTCCTCTCATTCGCCCCTTTCTCCCTCCAAATCACGACAATTGCATGTAAACCCTGCAGCACACACACTTCACTGCTTGCTTGTGCTGCTCCCATCCCATCCCACGTACCCGAATGCTCCAAGCAAGCTACCCACCCACCCTGCGTCTTTCGCTGCACACACACATCCGCCTTTCGCTGCACACACACATCCGCCTTTCGCTGCACACGCACATCCTTGCACATGGTCCTGCTTCTAACGCCGACCAACGATATCTCACACCAGGCTTACTTATCACCGACCAGTCGCTTCGCTAGACCTACTTTATCACCGACCATCCGTTAGATTAGACCTTCCTTATCACGATGTACGCTCGTGCAACTCAGAGGCTGCAATGGTCCTATAAAAGCCAGGACCTGAATGTTAGTCGGTACCAGTTCCCGTCTAACCCAAGCAGAAGCTTTGAAGCTTTACCCAGGCTACTGTCAGAGGCGTTACGCAGTTCTCTCACTCACCCTCTCTTCCTGTCCGAGGCACCACCCTTGTAGTAAATTAAATTCTCTTGATCAGCGACAGCCACTCCAACCACCCTTGTGAATCCAGCAACCGGCCCGGTTGTAATTTCACCGGTGCAGGGATCATGACACGCTGCAGGCTTTTCTTCGCGGTGCTCGGCCTCTCCCTGGTTGTGTCGCTCGCTCTGGCGCCGACGTGCCGCGCGAATGAGATCTTTACGATCGAACCAGAAGACGCCGACGAAGACGACGCTCCGGACGCCGCCATTTCCGCCGACGGGTCGCTTCCGGGTGCGTTTGGTTACTGTGTCGCGCTCAGTAACGACATGCGCCCCCGCTCTGTCTTGCGCTGCGCTAACTTGATTGAATATATCCGTTGCTTGCCTCCGGGTTACCAGCTCTCGTGAGCTTGCTTTTCGCTGCAAACAGGAAATTCATGCTATCCCCTCAGGCGTAGTGTTAATTTGTTAATTTTGTTTCCATTTCTTCCTGCTTCCAGGTTTCATGGGCAAGCTGTTGGGCGGCGCGAGCAGGCGGTTCCTATGGTCGCCTAAGATGCGCCGCGAGCTGTCATGCAAGTCGGACAGCGCCTGTAATTCCCTCATTTATTCAATTCATTTTGTTCCTTCCCACCCCGTTTCCAGATCTGATGAGCGAACTGTTCGGCGCGAGCAGGCGGTTTCTGTGGTCCCCTGAAATGCGTCGCCAGCTGTCGTGCAAGTCGGATTGCGAGGCGAAGAACAAGGAGTGCAACGAGTCGTACAGCGAGTGCAAGCGCGAGAACAAGGACGACGAGCACAAGCACCACAAGTGCACGCACACGTACAAAAAGTGCAAGAGAAAGGCCAAGAAGTGCCGCTCCAAGTGCGATTAGAGAAGGACTGGCAGTGCAGAGTACCATTGCTCGAGTGAAGGTTCTGCTCTCGAGTGGGCTAGTAGTGCGCATCATTGTTCATAGGAGGAAAACTCCCACTTATATAATATTTAAATACAACTAAGCACACTGGGTGGGTAGTACCGTAATCATGGATGCTATTTTTGCCCTGGATGTAATATTTTGGAGAACACTGCCTTTCAGACGAGATAATGTGTATAAGCCGGCTTGGTAAATCCATATAGAGAATGTCATCCATAGAGAGTACTGTACTGTATGTTGCTGATTAATGCAAGGATGCCGTAGGAGAAATATCATCCAAGCAAACCCGTAGTTACTGGTGGAGCAAGCAGGCTACAGGTAACAGGGGAGTTGCATGATTGCTGCCCTTCATTTGTTGGGCTGCAGCAAGATTGAGTTTCTACACCACGCACAATAACATTTCCATTCCTACAAGGTATTTAATGTGTACAAGCACCAGCAAAACACCAGCCTGGCGGCTGAAGGCTTGGCGTGCCTGTTTGAGGGCTTGAGAGCAGCATCCTATGCACAGCTCTCCTGAAAACTATCTGCCCATCCCAAACCTGAGACTAGGGCACTTTCTCAACCAAACCCTGCAATAGTTTTATATATTGTTTAGTGTAGCCTCTCCACCCCAGCATGCCTGCCCCCTTTTCGCTTCACACGTCACTCCTGACTGCTGCTGCATCTCTATAGTGCCTCACCTCGGCTGCATTGTCATTGCTTCCCTGTGCCTGGTGCCTGCTGCCCACTGCCCACTCTTTTCTGCTCCCGTCACTTCCAATCAAATTTGCCCAGACTTGGCTTCACCTGCCCACATATTTGGTGCCTGAAAATGAAATCAGTCTGCTGATTCCCTGTGCCTGCAGCCCACACTCTGCTGCAACCCTCACTCCCACTTGAGATCGTGCCAGTCGCCCACACTCCGCTTCGTCTGTTCTTTTCTTTAGGCGCCTGAAAAACTGCCTGCTGCCTCCCTCTTCCCGCTGCCCAGTGCCCATGCTCTGCTGCCCACTCTATGCTGCATCCCTCACTTCCACTTGAGCTCATGCCAGTCTCCCACACTCGGTTTAGTCTGCCTGGCCTCCCCCTGCCCACACTCCACCTTGATCTGAAACCCCAGCTGCCCCAACACCACATCCAATACAGTGTCCCCATGCGCATGCGCATGCCCATGGCCATGTCCATGAGCATGGGCATGAGCATGTCCATGTGCGTGCCCATGCCCATGGCCATGCCCATGCACATGCCCTGGCCCTGCTGCTGCCGCTGCTGCTGCTGCTGCTGCTGCTGCCAATGCTGCACCTGCTGCTGCGCCTGCACCTGCTCTTGCTGCCGCTGTTGCAGCAGCCGCAGCGGCAACAGCAGCGGCAGCAGCAGCAGGACCGTCACCAGCGCCACCTGCAGCACCAGCAGCAGCACCAGCAGCAGCACCAGCAGCAGCACCAGCAGCAGCACCAGCAAAAGCACCATCATCAGCACCAGCACCAGCACCAGCACCACCAGCACCAGCAACACCACCAGCAGCCGCAGGTGCTCCTGCCACTACACCGCCCCCCCCTGCCTGGAATCCATAAATCTGCCCATCCCTTATCCCTGCAACACCAACCGCCTGCCTCTGCCACTGCTCCACCACACCCCCTCTAGCTGCTCCCACTGGAGCTAGAGCACCAGCAACACCACCAGCAACACCACCAGCAACACCACCAGCAACACCACCAGCAACACCACCAGCAACACCACCAGCAACACCACCAGCAACACCACCAGCAGCAGCGGCGGCAGTGCCAGCAGCACCAGCAGCGGCGGCACCGGCAAAATCAGGCCCAGCACGCAGCCCACCCGCACCTAGCGCAGAGGCTTGGCCGCGGGTCATGGTTCGGTACGCCAGAACCATGCGCCTCGTCTCTTCCACTACCTCCGCATGGCCCTGTGCCCCCCATTGATCTTGCATGGGACCCACAGGCAGGAATCTATCCACAACAGCATCGGCAAGACCAGCAGCAGCAACAGCAGCACCACCAGCAGCGGCAACAGGACCACCCGCAGCAGCAGCAGCAGCAGCAGCAGCAGCACTGGCTGCAGCTGCTTGTGTTTGTTCAAATGCAATTTCTCCCTCGCCCGCTTCCTGACCCAGCTCCATTGGCCCGGCTCCTACTTCCACTGCCTCCCCTGCTGCCCCCGCTGCCCCCGCTGCTGCTTCTGCTTGCCAACCACCGTCTGCAGGTAATGCTGCTGCCGCTGTGCCGTCTGCCCCTGCTGGTGCTACTGCTGCTGCTGCCTCCTCAGCCGCCTGGCCTACAACTCGTACCACTACACCACCTGCTTCTTGTGCCTCTGCTGCTGCTACTTCTTCTGCTGCCGCCGCCGCCACCGCCGCCGCCGCTGCTGCTGCTGCTGCGGCTGCTTCTTGGGCAGCCACTGCTTCCACAACAGCTGCCGGTGCTGCTCCCAATGCTGCTACTTGTGCAAAAGCAGGAGCTGCAGCAGAACCCGCGGCACCACCTGGTGCTGCCGGTGCTGCCGCTGCCCCTGCTTCTGCCCCTGCTCCTACCCCTGCTGCCGCCCCTGCTGCTCCTGCCACCCCTGCTTGGGCGGCGGCGCCATCTGGTTGGGCTGCGGCGCCATCTGGTTGGGCGGCGGTGCCATCCGGGTGGGCGGTGGGGTTGACGCAGCGAAGGCGGGAGGTAACGGTGACGATGCAGTCGACTACCACGTTGGTGTGCGTGAGGGCGCCTGGCAAGGCGAAGTGGCGTTGAAAGGTGGCGTATACAGTGCTGCCAAAGGAGATTAGAAGGGAAATTGGAGGAAACAAAAGAGGGGGATGGAGAGTTAGTGGGGCAGGGAGGTGAGGGTGACGATGCAGTCGACTGCCACGTTGGTGTGTGCGAGCGTGCCTGGGAGGCTGAAGCGGCGCTGGAAGGTGGCGTATACCGTCCTGCAGAGAGGGGGATGAGGGAGAGAATGGAAAAGGGGATTAGCAAGAGAGTGTGGTTAGTTGGTGTGCACGAGCGAGGTGACTTTTGAGTCGACTCAAAAGTGTGCACCATGGTTCCTGGCAGGGCGAGGTGGCGCTGGAAGGTGGCGTATACAGTGCTGCAGAGAGGGGGGTGAGGGAGAGAATGGTAAGGGGGGAATAGCGGGAAAGAGTGGTTGTTTTGTGTAAGTGAGGGCTCCTGGCTGAGCGAAGGTGGCAGTGGAAGGTGGCGTACACAGAGCTGCAGTGAGGGGGATGAGGGGGAGAGAGTGGTTGGTTTGTGTAAGTGCGGGCTCCTGGTAGGGTGAAGGTGGCGTACACAGAGATGCAGCGAGGGGGGTGCAGGTTAGACAAGAAGGAATTTTTGGAGGGAGGGGGAGGTAAAAGGGGGGGATCCGAGGGAGATCATCGAGAGGAAGAGAGTCGAGGAAGACACAGATAAGAGTGTAGGGTTGAGTGCAGGAAAGGCACGGAAAGGCACAGAAAGGCACGGATTCAAAGCAGGAAAGGGAAACGAGGCAGTACCTACCCCCAATGGTGCTGTGCTGCGCAGAAGCTGAGTTAAGCAGCACAGCAGAGCGGTGAGACCGCAAGGCATGGAAGGGAGGGAAGGAAGCAAGCAGTACCCGCCAATGGTGCTAGGCGTATAATGAGGCAGTGACCTACCCGCCTATGGTGCTAGGCGTATAATGAGGCAGTGACCTACCCGCCTATGGTGCTAGGCGTATAATGAGGCAGTGACCTACCCGCCTATGGTGCTAGGCGTATAATGAGGCAGTGACCTACCCGCCTATGGTGCTGTGCCGAGCAGTGGACGCATTGAGTAGCACAACAACGGGCTGAGAGCGCAAAGAACGAAAACACGCAAGGGAGGGAAGGAAGCAAGCAGTACCCTACCCGCCAATGGTGCTGTGCTGTGCAGTGGTCGCCATGAGCAGCACAGCGAAGCTGTCGTCGCAACCTCTGAGCGCCAGACACGACACCTGCAGCTCCCTCGCTGCGCGCTCCAGCGCCCTCCTGCTCAGCCCAGGCTTGCCGTCCACCAGCACTGTGCCCACCTGCGAAGAAAAAGTCGTTTGCATGTGGGGTGGAGAACATAGTTCAGGAAAGGGGCTTAAGTCCAGTCCACTAACGAGGCTGCTCAGCCCAGGCTTGCCGTCCAGCAGCACTGCGCCCACCTGGATGGTGTGTTTGGATGAGGGGAGAGATAAGAGGAAAGGGATTTTTAAGCCCAGTTTACTCACAAGCCCGCTCAGCCCAGGCTTGCCGCACTGCGCCCACCTGCAATCGGGAGTGTGTGAAGGGGAGAGAGAAGAGGAAAAGGTCCCAGTCCTCTAGTTCTCTTAAGAGTCTAAGACCACTCATAGGCCTGTTCTTGAGTCGACTAAGACAAATATCCAAGTCCTCTAGTTCTCTTAAGACCCCTCATAGGCACGCACGATCAGCCCAGGCTTGCCTGCGCCCACCAGTGTTTAGGGTCCGAAGGTAGGTACTACAAAAGGAGCGTGATGTGATCAAAGGGTATCAATCACGGCACTCCTCAAACCAAACACAGCGCTGTGCCTCGACTAGAACGGAACCAGCTCAGCTCAGCCCACACACATTCCCGCCTGAAACTGATCGACTCTCACTGCTGCAGATGCTCAAGGTCGTTCGCACGGCTGGTGCGAGAAAAGGAATTCAATCAGTCCGCTCAACTGCTCCGTATCCCCGAATATCTGCTATGCTGTTTCACTCACATCCACGCCTGCCAGCCTGAAGGCGAGCGATTCCGGCTGCTGCAGGTGCTCCAGGTCGCTGGGCTGCTGCAGGTGCTCCAGGTCGTTGGCCCACTGATGCACCCCAAGGGAAGATCGATCACATAGTGCAACCGTTCCATATCCCAAACCACCTGCTATGAAGTTCCACTCCCATCCACGTGTGGCAGCCTGACAGCATCCACCACGTCTCAGCCCTACTACCGACTGACGTGACCCAAGGGGATCATTCAGATTGCTCAACTGCTCCATAGCCCATACAACCTGCTATGAGTCAGGCTGCTGGAACCTGAGGTTCCACTCCCATCCACGTGTGGCAGCCTGAAGGCGAACGAGCCAGGCTGCTGCAGGTGCTCCAGGTCGTTCGCCCCACTGGTGCGATCCAAGCTCCATATCCCAAACAACCTGCTTCGAAGATTTACTCACATCTATGTCTGGCAGCCTGAAGGCGAACGAGTCGGGCTGCTGCAGGTGCTCCAGGTCGCTCGCCCCGTTGATGCAACCCAACGGCTGGAGTCTAAAGTGAGTCAACTGTCAGCCCATGCTACTCACATTTATGTCTGGCAGTCTGAAGGTGAACGAGTCAGGCTGCTGCAGGTCGCTCGCCCCGCTGATGCGACACAAGAGAAAGGAACAAATGACCCGTCCCAAACAACCTGCCTCCCTTGTTCAGCACTGAGTCAATTCGATTCAGCCCAATATCCTCACATTTATGTCTGGCAGCCTGAAGGCGAACGAGTCGGGCTGCTGCAGGTGCTCCAGGTCGCTCGCCCCGTTGATGCGACGCGCAAAGATGGGCGAACCACGGTACGACACGTCAACAAGGAAGATGACGTCAGACACAAACTCGTCCACGTGGCCTGCTGGAATGGTGGACTGGACCTCCCCACAGGGCGTGTGGAGCAAACGGCAGAACCTGGGAGGTTTGGTGGGTTGGAGTGGTTTGGTGGGGTGGAGTGCATGCGGATGCGGTGCAGGAGGGGGAAATGCGAAGGTATTATGACAGGTGTAATGAAAGAGAGGTTTGCTTGCTCTATACACATGAACACGGCATTCAAAGAGAGGTGGGTGGGGTACGGTATGGTGGGGAATAAAACGTGAACGCCTTTTCAGCCCTTGTAATGTAACCAACCACCACTCCCTCCCTCGTACTCTCACTCTTGTAACCACCACACCCTCGTACTCTCACCTCTTGTAACCACCGCTCGCTCGTATTCTGGCTTCAAGGTCTGGAGCGTTGAGGCTGGGCCAATGCACGATGCACACCAGATGCCACAGCATCTCGTCCTCACACCCCTGGCGGGGGGAGAGAGAGAGCACACAATGTGGCGCAACACACGCACACAGCAAAGAACACACAGAACGGACACGCGACACATTTTTGAAAGTAGAAAAAGCGACTCCAGCACAGCACATCAAAACACATGTTACAGTAAGGGGGAAAAAAAAAGAGGAGCGAAAAGCGGACGCTCAGGGCATGAATTCACCAATAAAGGAGTCCTATAGCGTTAACAAGACATGAGCGTTCAGGCCATAGCACAAGGCACGAGCATGACCGTGTGCGTGCATGCGCGCACACATGTTTGTGTGTGTGGGAGAAAAAGGAACGCGGCAGTGCGTGCATGAAAGCGAGTGTGCGTGCGTGAATGTGGGCATGCATGCGCTTGTGCGTGCGTGCGTGCGTGTATGCTTGAGTGCGCACCAAGGAAAATCGGAAAAAAAAAAGAAATGTGACTTGCAACGCCACGAAAGTGCCTCACATGGCAGATGGCAGATGGCATGGCAGAGACACGCCAGGCCAGGGCAACCTTAACCTTCTCCCTCCCCCACGTTCCCTTCCTCCTCCCTCTCCCCTCCCCCTCTCTCCCATCTCTTGCTATTCCCCCTTCCCCCCTTCTTCCCCCAACCCATCCCCCCCCTCTCTTCTCCTCCTCCCCATCCTCGTTCTGAATAACCTTAGGGGAGCGTCTTACATGGCGGAAGGAGCGGCAGAGGCAGGCGAGCGTGGCAAGCCCGCGCGGGGAGAGGCGGCCGCTCTGCAGCAGCAGGTAGACCACCGTGTGCTCCGTGCCGCACGCCACCTCCTCCTCCTCCCACCGCACCCGCTTCACCGCACCCCCACTCCTCTGCGCTTCCCCTCTCGCCGCCGCTGCTGACGCCGTCCAGAGGCCCGGACGACCTGGCCACACGGAGGGAGAGAAGGGAACATTTTTTAGATGGTTTGGAAGCCCGAAACGTTTAATTGCCTGAAACGTCTTAATATGGCACCGTTCGTCCTGGGGACTCCCCTCTTACTGCCGCTGCTGACCCCGTCCGGAGGCCCGGGCGACCTGACGGCAGCTAGGGGGACGTGACGGGAAAATTCGGCGATATGGAGGCGCGAACGGGATGCATGAGGTAATCCATCCCACGCTGTGTTTCGCGAAATGAACGATACTATCTCTTCGCTCCACCTACGCGTCCCTTCTCGCTGTCGCTATCGACGCTGCCCAAAAAGCCCAGGCCACCTGACAGCGTCGTGCAGGAGTAGCGGGAAACGCGGGGTAACAATTGAAAATGCGTAAATGGAAAACGCGGAACGAAGCCGAACCAAGTCGGAAGTACGTCTCCTTCGCAACGCTGTCTGGACTTAAAAAAAAACAAAAAAAAACAAAAACGACCGAACAGCGAACAGTGTGGTAGGGTTCTTTCTCTCGGCCAAGTCGCTCCTTCGAACGGATCCCCCACTGCGTGAATACAGGCGAAAAGTAGCGACGCGTCATCTCGACCAGAAGAAGCGGCTATCATTCGACGGAGACACGTCAGCTAGCTAGCCGTTAACGACGCGCATGGTCGAACGATAACTCGACGTAGGGTACTCTGCGGGTTCCGAAGTCCGTACTGGCCAGCAACCCCAATTCCGCGCTTAAGAAACGACCTCGTTAACCGTCATAATTATCGTGACTCAAAACCAAAACTACCCTGCAGAAGCTGGCACAGGCACGAACTTACCTAGTAACTAACCACCAATCTGCACTAGCTGTCGCATCACCAAACCTTCTAGTCACCGTCGCAACACCTAATATGCAGAAACCGTCCTAACCCTAACCTGCAGTAGCGCTGGTGACGTGGCCGATTAGTCGCCGCACCAGCTGCCACATGGCGGCTGCGCAGAGGAGGACGGAGTGAAAGAGCGACAGGAAAATCGGGGACGCCAGCCAGATCCAACGGCTAGGAGCGAACGGAGCAGGAGGAGCGGCGTTCGGAGACGGAACGGCTGCGAGAGCAGATGAACTTGCGCGATGCGTGATGCTCGTTTCAACGGTCGTGGCGCGAGGTTCGGTGTCAGAAACCGGTTCAGGCGCTTCGGCTACTGGTCGAAAAGATGAAGGCGCTGCGAGATGGTCGATGGTACTGTTAACGGTTGCGATGCGAGGGATTATCTGCGACGCAGTCGCCGGCTCTTCGGCGACGGCTCCGGGCGACGACGGAGCTGCGAGTTGCGTTCCGTCACCGTCAGACGACGCGGTTCGCGGAAATATATCGGGTACAGGCGACGCGGTGCGCGGGGGGAAATCGGAAAGGGGCCCTGGCTCTTCGCCGCACGGAACGGGTGGAGCTGACGTGGAAGCAGACGGAGCCGTGGGATATGTATCGATATTAGCAGCGGCGGCAACAGAGGTCACGTCAGTGATAGTGGTCTCATCAGAAAAAGGGGTTGTGACAGCAAGAGCAACAGCGGAAACAGCAGCAGCAGCAGATGAGGACGCAGTAGCAGGTGGGGGAGCGGGAGTGAGACTGCACGAGGCTGCGTGGAGAGGAGTTGCGTCGGTTAGATGCATCCGAGCATGGAGAGACAGCGCGATCCACGGACCGCACTTACGCAGTTAACCTAATTTTTTGTCAAGCCCTGTTCATAGACCGAGACTCGAGGCATAGAAATTTCGCGGCTTGCATCTCGTCATAATATGCTGAAGCTTCAGGTCAGAAAAAGCCAATAGCCAATAGCGATGGTCAACTCGTAGCGGCACAATAGCCAGCTTATACTCTCCTACTCTTAGGGGTCATTGGGTGGTGATGGATTGAACTGACGCGGAGCAAACCTGAGCCTAGTGAGCCAACGGTATGATGGGATGGGAACACCTCCAGTATACGTCGTGGAGCGAACAGCAAGGATGTAGACAAAAGCCACTGAACTAAGGAGGATATTATACCATACCACATACTGTACCAGGAACAGGCAGATTCTAGAAAAGGATGAGGTGTAGGAGGGGGGAAGTAGGAAGGGGAAAATATGCCGTTCGTAACCATCATGGGACTCAAAAACATTTTTGGTAAAAAAATAAAGGGTACGGTCACTGCAAAGGGTGTTTTCACGCGACTGATAAAGCGTTTCACGGAATCAGTCACAATCAGCTGGTAAAAGAAAACGCGAATGGTCGCAGATGAAACTCCCCCCAAAACAAAATGAAACCCAGAAAGAACCTGGATGCATTTTCGGATGATCAACCCTAAACACGTAACTCGCAAGGTGTTTAGGGTTGATCCGTTCCCAAACCGCATCCGATTCCGATTGGGTTTTAGTTTTTTTACAAGTTCGCAGATTGGTTGGGCGCGAGCGGGAATTTTGTTGAGTTTCAGGTTTTTTTGGCGGGAGTTACATGTGTGACCATTCGCGTGATTTTTTACCTGTTGTTAGTGACTGAATCCGTGACCCCGCTTACCAAACCCGTCAGAAAACCCGATACAGTGACCGTACGCGTTTTTTTTTACCATTCACGTTATCGTCCCAAGTTGGTTACTTGTGGCATATTCTCCCAGTAGGAAGCAGCTTTGATGGCATGGTCCTTCAGAGGAATCTGTAAACGATTCAGAACTTCAGTCGAGTCTTTTCGTTCTTGATTTGAAGACGCTCTCGTTACGGACGCGCTTGTGATGATTGGGCGTCTACAAAAAGTGGTTGGTGACTGTCTCTTTCACGACGGGTTACTAGAGAACCTCAGAAAAGCAACGTTCTTGCAGTACGCGGTTCGAAAATTGGGACTGGGAGTTAGCTGGGAACAGTCGGAAGGTAACTGAATGAGCAGTGAATGAGCTGTGAGACAACCATAGTGGTGATCATTGAAGTGACAGATGACGGAGTTTGACGGATTTCAAACGAGAAAGGAGGTGCGTCCGGCACCACCATGGTAGTATCTGGGGGACTGTTCAAACGCCCATCTGGTTCGGGGAGTTTGTTCGGTGGCTTGGTCCAGTCGAACCAGTGTTTCTGACTAGATGTCAAAGCGACGGAGCGAATGTTTGGTTGGTAAGGGCGTGTGTCCTTGGTGGTCGGAGTTCAGAAATATGGTCGAGCTTAGATTGGTAACAAGTCTCGCGAATCTCGTCAATTAGGCATTGCGAAACTCATCAGCATCAGGCGAAACCAATAAAAACAAACATGGACATTGAACATTGCAGGTGCGATGTGCAACACGTGTGCACTTTTGCACACGATCGATGAACTTGCGAAAATTGCGAAATGGAAAAACCCCATCGTGTGCACAACAAAGTCGTCGTCTTTATCGAGGCGTCACCACTCGCCACGTGGCACGGAAACTCCATTCCACTGTGAGCCGGGTTACCTACGAAGTTCTAGCTTCGATACTCGACCATTGCAGGTGCGATGTTATTAACGCAAATGGAGAACACGCGACTCGTCCATCGGGAGTTGAGGTACTTGACTTCAGGTCGAGCAATGCTCAATTACTAAAATTCGAACAAAACGAACCGAACTTACAATTCGGGCCAAAGGACACGCGCCCTTAGGGGCAGACCACGATGCACCAGTCAATAGGTTACCGGCGCCTCGGCAGTTGGTATGGTGGTCTGACAACGATTTCTAACCCTGGTTCGGTTCGCCCCAAAGAAGCCTCGGTGCACGCAACTCGGTGAAAGCCACAAAACACTACACTCTAACCTTTGATCCCACATGCATACGTACGGAACATCTCATTCGGTTAAATTGAACCCAAAAGTGGAAATATTAATAGAAGTGTTACACCATAAGCTAAGATTATACTAAATGTAATAGGTTCTGATTTTACTTAAATGAGCTATTTCCATGGACAGGATATGCACTGTGATAGACACATCAACGCATAGACTGTGCCTGTCTGGCAGCAACTTCGTTTCTTAGCGTCTCTAGTGCAAACACATTTTCATCAAAGAGGGCCGGGAGGCGAGTAACATGGCCGTGCAGGAGAGAGCGTAGTGCCACACACATCAACACAGAAACTATTGCTGTGCAGACATCAACTGAGACTGTTGCTGTGCGGACAAGACTTCGTTTCTAAGCGTCTCTAGTTCCAAGACAAGCTTCATCATGGAGGGGCGGGAGGCGAGCGACAAGGTGGTGCAGGAGAGGGCGAGGCGGAGCAGGCGCAGCGCTGCGGATTGATTCATGGCCAGGCGTGGGTCGATCACTTCTAGGAGATCCGTGCTTGCGGGCAGCTCTGGTGGTGGCTGTGGGTGCAGGAGGGGGGGAGGAATGGAAGGCAGGGAGGGAGGGATGGAAGCGAGGGAGTGAGATCAAATGCATGACATCGGATTGCCCAACACATCCGTGCTTGTGGGCAGCTCTGGTGGTGGCTGCGGGTGCAGGGAGAGAGGGATGCGATGCGAGGCAAGGAGAGCAGGATGGGAGGCAGGGAGGGAGGGAGGAGTGGGAGGCAGGGAGCGAGAGTGGATGATCATATATCACAGGCCTGTGCATTAGAGAAGCTGGAAGACTTGTGAGCAGTGGTTTGTGGACGAGGAGGAAGGGACATGGAAAGAATGTGGTATGCTTTTGGGCGTGCGTGTCCGTGTGAGTGCACAGATTTAGGGTTAAGGGGGGGAAGATGATGAGGGGGAAGGAAGAAGGACCAGGAGGAGGAGCGGGAAGATACATGCAGTCTCATGGTATGGCGTCTAAAAAGAGACAAAATAAGCAGGAATTTTCAAAATAATAGCCCCGAAAGTAGAGGGGGAGTGGATCAGAAGAAGAGGGAGTGGAGCAGAAGAAGAGGGAGTGGAGCAGAAGAAGAGGGAGTGGAGCAGAAGAAGAGGAAGAGGAGCAGAAGAAGAGGAAGAGGAGCAGAAGAAGAGGAAGAGGAGTGTACATCTATTGGAAGAATGGCAGCGGGATCGTCCAGCTTCGCAGTGTGAGCATCTGGGTGCAGCTGCTGGGACACCTGCATGGATGGATGGAGAGCGGTTGTGCACGGTGTGAAGGGGTGGAGAAGATTGAGTTCTCGTGGAGCAGTGAATCAAGATGAGGGAGACTGCCAGGTGAGGAAAGCGTGCAAGCCGCCGAGAGTGAGGGAGCTGAGCGTGAAAGTGTGCACTGGTGTAAAAGCGAGTGAGGGAGGAGAAGACTGAGTTCCCGTGGAACAGTGCATCAAGACGAGGGAGAGTGCCGGGTGAGGAATGCAGGCAATTCATCCACGTGATAAAAGTTGTATTTTGAGACGTCTCAGACTGCATGCGATTCATCGAGATTGGGATGTGAGAGAGTTGGGCGTGAAACTGTTCTCTGGAGTAAAGGCAGTAAAAGAGGGAGAAAGGCAGCCCACCCAGTCTAGATGACTGGGCCATACCTTGTAAATCAGACCTAGTAAAAGAGCAGGCACCCCACACAGTCTTGGAGGTGAACTGGGTACTTGTTGAAAAAGAGTACTTTGAGACGTCTCAGCGCAAATTTATTATCACGTGAGTTGTGAAAGAGCAGGCCACCCAGCTGGTCTCGGGGGTGAACGGGGCAGCTGTTGAAAAGCTGGGTTTGAGGCGTCTCAGGACAGAGTCATTATCACGTGAATGGTGAAAGGGGAGGGCACCCACCCAGTCTCGGAGGTGAACGGGGCGGTTGTTGACAGGAAAGACAGCCTTCTTGCACGTGAGGAGCTCGAGAATCAAAATGCCAAAGCTGCGTGCGGACCATGGAAGCAAAAGGCGTGGCGGGGGGCAGGGGCGTGAGACGAGGCAGGGGCATGGGGAGGAGGCAGGGATTTGGGGAAGAGGCACAGGCATGGGGATACAAAGGGCACGGGGCAGATTCAAACGCATGGGAAGGCAAAGGGCTTATGAAACATCAAATGCATGATAAGTGGCGGCTTTGTGAGTCTGAGGGTAGGTGAGGTGACTTTTGAGGCGCCTCAAAAGACATCAAATGCATGACAAGTGGCGGCTTTGTGTGTCTGAGCGTAGGTGGAGTGCACATAGCTTGGTGTGCCCATCCCATCACTCCCATGCACTCCCTTACAGGACAATACCCTGCTTGCACCTTGCTGTACTGCGCTGCACCGCACTGCATTCCCCTGTAGCGGACTGCACCACTCAATACCTGTACACATCAGCTGCAGTGGTGGCCTTGCGGGTCTGAGCATAAGTGGGGTCCACGTAGCCTGGTGTGCCCATCACCCGAGTTGACTTTACCGTGCTGCTCTCACTCATCCGCAGCAGCCCAAAGTCTGACAGCTTCGCCTGCCATGACGAGGAGGGTGGGGAGGACATGTGAGGGGCGTTGACTTTTATGGCCTTCTGTTGACTTGTGTTGACTTCATTGTGCTGCTCTCACTCATCCTCAGAAACAGCCCAAAGTCAGACAGCCTCGCCTGCCATGACGAGGAAGGGTATGACATGGACATGTGGGAGGCGTTGACCTTCATGGCCTCCTGTTGACTTGCATTGACTTGACCGTGCTTCTCTCTCACTCATCCTTAGCAGCAGCAGTCCAAAGTCTGACAGCTTCGCCTGAAGAGTTTTGCAGATGCAAGGTGAATCAGACAACTGGGAGAAGTTATGATGACCTGATTTCGCTGCAAGTACGGTTCTTCACGTACGGAGATGGGAGTTCATGGAAGCCTCACCTGGGAGGCAGGTGGAGCAGAGATCGGGGCACTCCCGGCAGAAGGCAGAGTTGCGGGAGACTGTTGAGGGGCTGACCATGGTGCACACATTGCTGCTGCTGTCGGTGGTGCTGTTGCATGCCATGTTGCTGCTCCTCATGCTGTCGGTGGTGCTGTTGCATGCCATGTTGCTGCTCCTCATGCTGTCGGTGGTGCTGTTGCATGCCATGTTGCTGCTCCTCATGCTGTCGGTGGTGCTGTTGCATGCCATGTTGCTGCTCCTCATGCTGTCGGTGGTGCTGTTGCATGCCATGTTGCTGCTCCTCATGCTGTCGGTGGTGCTGTTGCATGCCATGTTGCTGCTCCTCATGCTGTCGGTGGTGCTGTTGCATGCCATGTTGCTGCTCCTCATGCTGTCGGTGGTGCTGTTGCATGCCATGTTGCTGCTCCTCATGCTGTCGGTGGTGCTGTTGCATGCCATGTTGCTGCTCCTCATGCTGTCGGTGGTGCTGTTGCATGCCATGTTGCTGCTCCTCATGCTGTCGGTGGTGCTGTTGCATGCCATGTTGCTGCTCCTCATGCTGTCGGTGGTGCTGTTGCATGCCATGTTGCTGCTCCTCATGCTGTCGGTGGTGCTGTTGCATGCCATGTTGCTGCTCCTCATGCTGTCGGTGGTGCTGTTGCATGCCATGTTGCTGCTCCTCATGCTGTCGGTGGTGCTGTTGCATGCCATGTTGCTGCTCCTCATGCTGTCGGTGGTGCTGTTGCATGCCATGTTGCTGCTCCTCATGCTGTCGGTGGTGCTGTTGCATGCCATGTTGCTGCTCCTCATGCTGTCGGTGGTGCTGTTGCATGCCATGTTGCTGCTCCTCATGCTGTCGGTGGTGCTGTTGCATGCCATGTTGCTGCTCCTCATGCTGTCGGTGGTGCTGTTGCATGCCATGTTGCTGCTCCTCATGCTGTCGGTGGTGCTGTTGCATGCCATGTTGCTGCTCCTCATGCTGTCGGTGGTGCTGTTGCATGCCATGTTGCTGCTCCTCATGCTGTCGGTGGTGCTGTTGCATGCCATGTTGCTGCTCCTCATGCTGTCGGTGGTGCTGTTGCATGCCATGTTGCTGCTCCTCATGCTGTGAGTCAAACGATGGGCGGGTGGGACGAAAGAGGTGTGATGACGGAAAAAATAGTAGGTGGAGGAATGATGAAGAGGGCAATGTGAGGAAGTGAAAATGCGACAACTGACAGCGTGAAGAATTACGATTGGAAAAAGGAAATGACAATGGTGAGGAAGTGAGAAATCGAGTCACTGACAACGTGAGGAAGTGAAGAAGTGAGCTGCAGAATACGTGGGGAAACGAGTAAGCAAGCAGCTGAAAACGTGAGGAGGAAGAGAGAAAACCTGAGTCAGTGTGTGGAAGTGGGAAGGAAAGCAACTGACAAGGTGAGGAAATCGGAGAGGCTTCCGAGAAAAGCTGGCACGGAGCCACTGATTGCTGTGTTGCTGATGTCACTGTATGGGAGATTGGAAGGAAGCGAGGATGGTGGGAGGAAAAAAATTATTGACTTTTGAGTCGAGTAAATATCACATTGCTCTGCAAGAACAGCTGGCACGAGGCCGCTGATTGTCGTGTTGCTGATGTCACTGGATGGGAGATTGGGAGGGAGGAAGGATGGCGGGTTGGAAAAGATATCACTTTTTGAGTCGACTCAATAATCACCTCCCAAGGATAGCTGGTGCTGTGCCATTGTGTGGCGTGTTGCTGACGTCGCTGGAATGGAGATTGGAAGAAGGGAGGATGGTGTGTTGGAGATTTGAATAAGGGAGGATGGTGTGTTGGAGATTGGAAGAAGGGAGGATGGTGTGTTGGAGATTGGATTTGCTGCTGGAAAGCAGAAGCGGAGAGGAGGGAAGGGAGCATACGAACAGAGCCTGGAAAGAAGATTAAAGGAGTAAGGGTTGAGCTATTTGATCCATTATCATTAGAACATAACACCACAGGACGACCTGTACTTTGAAATAGAGTACACCTGCCCTGCCCCACGTGACATGCCACATCGCCACCCACCTTAGTGCGATGCATGCCTCACACCACCCTGCATACCTCACACCACCCTGCATGCCTCACACCACCCTGCATGCCTCACACCACCCTGCATGCCCTCACACCACCCTGCATGCCTGCCTGTGAGTCACAGCTTACAGCATGGTGAGTTGATCGAGACCGCTCAAGCTGAGGGGCAGAGAGCCATTGAGCTGAGTTGATCCAAGCTTGCTGGTGGAAGGGCGTGGAAGGTGAAAGAGCATGGAAGATGAAAACGCATGGAAGGTGAAAGAGTAAATATTCAATCGGTTGGTTGTGAGAGACTAACCAAAACCCGTGATTGATTTCTGCCCTCTAGATGCATGCAAAGGGTGACAGGAGGTGGAAAGTGGTCATAAAGACTAGCCATTTTGTGGAACGCCAAAGTCACGGGCAAACAAGAAAGTGAAAGGAGAGCAGGAGGAATGAGATCTCTATGGAAGCATGGTGATGATGAGGCCTCCACACCACATCATGATGACGACGACCACACCACCTCATGGTGACGACAAGTGCTCACAGATACACAAAAGCAGAGGGTCGACTCTATGGAAGCATTTTGAGAGTTCTCAGAAGCGGCTCTATGGAAGCAGGTTGCCGCGTTTGCAGTGTTTTGCCTCTGGTATAACGCTCAAGTCGACTCAAAAGTCACCTCCATAAGCCACCTACTTCTTGAGTCGGCTCAACAGAATCCAGGTACTCACAGGGAATCCAGGAATGTGAGGTTGCCTATTGAAGGTTTTTTCGAGTCCTACTGCTGATCGTTTTTCCAGGAATAATTTTCAATTTCAATCATTTTTGTTGCTTAAAGCATTTTATAATCTTCAGAATTGCCTCTTCAGAATTGCTGCTCTTCAGAATTGAGCGAGACCCCCATGACTTTGAATAGTCGGCATAAGAGAAGCCAGGTACTCACATGGACTCCAGGGACGTGAGGTTGCCTATTGCCTCGCGCTTAAACACAGTGACTCACATTTTGAGTGGACTCGAAACAAGCCACCTGGTAACTCACAGGGACTCCAGGGACGTGAGGTTGCCTATTGCCCCCGGAATGCTGCCAACAAGTCCCTCGTTGGTGGCCAGGCTTCTGCATATGGCTCACAGGGGAAGGAGAGGGGGAGGGAAGTAGAAATAAAGAGAGAAGGGAAACGGAGAATCAAAGGAGGCAAGATGATGGGGATCCAGAGTGTAAGGGAGAGAAGTGAGGGAAGGGAGAAGATGAGTAGAAGCACAGGGGCGGGCCGCGGGCATGATAAGGAGAGAGAGAAGCGTACAAGGTGGTGAGGTTGGTGAGGGTGGCGAGTTGAGGTGGAATCGGCCCTGTGAAGCGGTTGCTGCTCAGGTCCCTGCTCACGAGATGTGGGCACGGGGGGAGGCGCGGACATGTGGGGAGGCGCGGGCATAGGGGGAAGGGTGCAGTGCAAGCAGAGGGGAAGGCGTGGAAATCTTGAGACATCTAGACAAGTCGCAGGCACATGACATGAGAACCCGAAAGAACTCTGGGAAGGGATTGATGCTCAGGTCCCTGCTCGTCAGGTGAGGGCACGGCACGGGCAGAGGTACGGGGCGGGTGGGCGCGAAGAGAGACTTGAGACGTCTCCATACTCGGTTGCTGCTCGAACCAACCCACACTTCCAACTTGCAGGCATGGGGTAGGTGCGGGAAGTGTGGGAAGAGAGATGGAGGGGATGCTACCAGGTGAATGTGGGAGGTGGGCAGCAGTGGGAAGCACGGTAGAGAAAGGGCAATGCCGTTAAAGATTGAATGAGAGATTTTAAACACAGTGCAGTGGCAAGTCTAAGTTTAAGAGGTGTACTTCAAAAGAGGGAAGGAGGTAGCTCACAGGAAGGAGAGGAGCTTGGCTTGGTCGATGAAAGGTGGAATGGGGCCCGAGAGGGTGTTGTGGTGCAAAGAGCTGATGATGAGTTGAGGGGGAGGAAAGGGCGGGGAAAGAAGAGGGAAGGAGGAAGAGAAAGAGAGTTGGTCGGTAATACCTTCTTACAATGCGTGCAAGTTGCTTGAATCAGAAAATGGGGATGAACGACGGTATCCAAAGTACAGTCACATCCGGAGTACAGTCACATCTGGAGTACAATCACACATCTTGCTTGAATCTGGACAAGTCTTTTGAGACTCAAACACACTTTTCCATATTTCGACCTGAGGGTTGCTAATGCAAGCATGATAGAAACAACAGTTTGCGCTGCAAAAGGCGATTCTTAGCATTCAAGTGCTTCTCAGGCAGACTGACAGCGATTGGAGGTTCACGAGGTTGCTGAAGCTGCTGGCGCCATTGTAACGAGGTGGCTTTCGAGTCGAGTCAAGAGTCATATTTGGCATTAAAGTGTCGTTCAAAGGGATTTACAGCGATCGGAGGTTCACGAGGTTGCTGAAGCTGCTGGGAATGGTTCCCTCAAGCGCGTTGCCACTCAAGTCCCTGCAGCCACACATGGCACATGGCACATGGCACATGTAGCACACAATTGTGCACTTTTATGAAATGTCCTGCAACCTTCCATCCCTGCAAGAGATTTTTGAGAACTCTAAAAAAATGTCCGTGGCACATGTGGCATATTTTTGAGAGACGCATCAAGTGTGTCGCAACAACTGGATGGCAGTGAGTGAATGACTGAGTGCATCAGTATACTTCCCTCCTTGAGCCAGAGAGCATGTGTGGCTGCAGCAGGGACTTGAGTCAGTGACTGAGCTCATGGTGCATGGTGCATGCCATGACACATGGTACATACATGCTGCATGCTACATGGTGCATGGCGTACAGGTATTGAAGGTTGACCGCGCCCCAAGGAAGTAGGGAAAGGAGCATGAGAAAGGAAACGTGGATTTGAAACGTGAAAACGAGAATTCTCGAAAGTAGGGAGCGGAGCATGAGAGTTGCCTAAAACTCAAGATGACTTATGACATCGCACATGGCACATGGCACACGGTCCACAGCCTACGTACAGGTATTGAAGGTTGAGCAGCGTGCCAAGAAAGTCTGGCAAGGAGCCTGAGAGCTGGTTGGAGCTCAAGTCCCTGGTAGCACAGAGAGAAGGGAGAAGGAGCAGAAAACAAAGAGTTTCAAGGCTCCTCGGAGGTTGTAGCTCAAGCCCCTGACGACGACACAGAGGAAAGGGAGAAAATAAGTCTTTGGGAATGAAGTGAGTGGGGAGAGAGCTTTGAGTGGGGTATGGGAGTTCTGAAGGCGTCCGAGTGACCAGTGAGGACAAAGTCACCCCGTCCTCCAAGCACGAGCCCCATGCCCGATGTACTGCACAAGTAGCGTAGTACCCTCTTAGCAGCATCCATGTGCACCTTTCGGTGCCGACCAGGAGCTACGTAGCGAGCCAGAAGGCCAAGAGGGTACGCAAGGTCAGGACGAGTGCAGGTCATCAGGTACAAGAGGCAGCCCATTAGCTCTGGGTAATGACCACTCGGCTCTACGGACTCGTCCGAAGGTGGAGCTGAGAGCGAGTGACCTGTAGCCAGAGGAGTGGCCTGTGCTGAGGACCAAGGGAAGCCGAAGCGCTGAAGGACCTGCTGCACCATGTGTGACTGAGTCAGTGTGATGGTGCAGCGTGCTCTGTCCCGGGTGATCTGCAAGCCAAGATAGCTGCGCAGCTCACCCAGGTCTGTGCACGTGTGTCTCTTCTGCAGCTCCGACTTCACCAGGGCGAGAGCCTCAGTATCAGCAGTGGCAAAGACCAAGTCGTCGACGTACACGAGGATGTAGAATGGCGGCAGCGAAGTGTCGGTGCGCAGAAACAGCGACGGGTCAGCAGTCGACGGAGCAAACCCAAGAGCCGCAAGTCTCGTCCTCAGTGTGTCGTGCCACTCACGTGGCGCCTGGCGGAGACCGTAGACCGGCCGCCGGAGGCTCCACTGGGTACCAGGAGGGAACGACCCAATGAAGCCAGGAGGGCGGCGCAGCCATATCTCCTCGTGCAGGCTGCCCTGTAAGAAGGCTGTGCTGAAGTCAAGAGAGTGAAGCTCGTAGTCACGCTGAGCGGCGACGTGTAGCAGCACCCGAAGAGTGGTCATCTTCGGGGTGGGGGAGAAGGTCTGGAAGAAGTCAACTCCCTCTCGCTGACTGAAGCCTCGAGCCACGTAACGAGCCTTGAAGACAGGCGTAGAACCTGGT